GATGAAAGGTTTTTTTTCCCCCCTCTACTAATATTTGGCTATGCAAAACATTTTCTCACTGACAAGACTTTCGACGAAGCACGCATTAAAATTAAGCTTCGTGTATTTTCACTAAAATATATCACATTATCTTGACTATCGTAACTTTAAAGGCTACCTCATTTGCTTCATTTCTCAGTTGGGGACTTCGGATTCCCAGTTCAGATAATTGATGCTCAAGATATGGCTAGTCGCACAATCCTTTTGAAACATGTCCTCAGAGTAACTTATCCACGTGAAAGTATTTATACGACATGGCTTCGTAACAGTTTATAAAATATCTTAAAAGCATGGCTCATACGGATTATTAATGGAAAGACATTCAAATTCAAAAATCCATAGGACAATTTTTGTTTTATTCAAAAGCATTCAGAACCTTTGTCGTTTAATTTTATGACTACGTTAACTAACAATTCTGTACTGAATATTTTCCCAAACTTAATTTGTTTCGGAGACTTTTCATTCGGGCACCAAGTTAAGTGATTTGTTTTCAATTTGAAATTTCCTAGTGTAACTAGATTTCTTATACATTACTAGTTTCTTAATTGTAATTCATAAAATCTTATATATGTTTTGGCTTTATTATTTTGGATATTCTAAAGATGTGTCTTCACATCAAGAAATTCTGTAAAGCGTTTTCCGAGAACAATATTGTATTTCGCCTAAAACTCTATAAATGGTAACGAATACTTCTTTATATATATATTAATATATTAAATGTATTTATATTATTACACTTTTATTATATATGTATGATAAATTTAACTGTTTATTGTATTCTTTAAGAATTTGAAGATAAGTCTCACCTGAAATTTTCTTTTTACTTCCTTGCACAGCACTGTTGGCACTTTCCATTTTATTACATTATTGCAATATTTTTGCATTGTGGAGTGCCTGTACACCATTTCAATTTAAGTAATTTTTACCAATACTTTTAATTTTCCTAATATGTTAATAATTATATAATAATATATAATGATTATTTCTCATATAAGAAAGGAAATGTTTATCTTAGTAACATTGTGAATTATAGATGTTCTGTGGTTCATGTATAATTTTTAGAGCTTCAAATTTTACAGTAAATTTACTAATTTAATTCTGAAAAAAACCGGGAATCGTAAATGCACAATTCATATAATACCTTGTCAATTATTAAACTATCTAAGATTATAGCAACATAAATGGGCGAATATTTATAAATAAACTTAATCAGATTTAAAATATTTTTTTAATTCTTAAAATTTATACGAAATTTAAGATGAGTGGGTAAATTTAATTTATGAGCTTTAGAAAAATTTTAGAATTTATTCTTTTAATTATTACATTTCTGATTATGTAATGTAAATGTTACTCATTCTAAATTATCTGTAATGTAAATCATACTCTGAATACGTCTGTTCCATTTTACAATTATTTAATTTATAATTAATATCATTTGCTTAGTTCTTAATCGCATAGATGCTTAATGGCATGTTGATACGACGCTTAATGTTTTTAATAAACATTACTTCGCATTAGATGCGTGATTAAATATTATTTGTCAGCCTTATATATCAACAGTTAAACTAGTTCTTTCTTCATTAAAAATTAAAATAATGTAAACTAAAAAAAATTCATTAACGCATACTTTTGTATATCCGAGATATTTTTTCTTAAATTTTTGAAATACGACTTTATTATATTACTCATAGAATTTTTCTGAGCGTAATATTCTCCCTACAGTTTCAATTTTCCTTATGCCATTAGTTAACTTAATCACACTCAGCTGACGACAAAGGAATCTTATTAAAATATGTATACAAAATTTATTTTCTTATATTCATTCCTCTATTTCTCTGTTTCATCTATACGTATATAAACATTTCTTTTCTTTATGAAAGAATTTTTCTCGTATAGAGTATTAATTTATTTGTAACATTAAAAGCCTCAAGGCTTGTAACATCAAAAGCTAATGGCGCTAGTCTGCTGGCTGTCTTCTTTGCGGCGTTAGACGAATATTTAATTAATGCATTTTTTTTCCAGGATCTGCACCTGTCTGCTAAGCGTGAAAATAAAAAAAATATGTGTTTTCAAGTATTTTTACTAATTTTTAGCTTTCGCTGTGAGTTAGTTTTCACTCAGTTTTACGCACCAAATGTTTATCATATTAAAGAAGTTAAAAAAGTTAAAGCAAGTTAAAAGCAAAGCGAGTTAAAGATAGCTTTGGTTTAGACTAAACAGTTGTGGTTAGTCTAAACTTCTTTATAAGTGAGCACAGAACATAGCATGAGAACTATATTATATTTTCATTACATTTAATTGTGTTAAATGAGTTTTTATTGGATTTACTTGGGCTTTATAGGTAGGAAAACCTAACTTAAAGTAGACATTACTAAATTTGCTGTACATTTCATGTTTGATATTAAAAAATGGAAGCGCTTTTACATACCATTAATGCAACATTTTTCTGTTTTAACAACATTTATACGTTTAGATATAAAGATAATTAAAATCTAGTTTTTATGTAACTTGAAAATTAAGTTCAAATTTTGTTAAATCAAAATCTTATTAAAATACTAAAAACAATATTTCAGAAACGTTATATAAAATTTAAAACAATATTTTAGAATACGTAAAAGTGAAAAAAAATGTGTTTAATAAAACTAAAATGCATTTTTCTTAATTTGTTGCCCAGATTCGAAAGCAAATACATAGTTTTTTATATAAAAATAAAATCATTTACAGTAGGTAATAAATGATGGTTCATTCCAATCTCAGTTCTTTTTAAAAACTTTAAAATTTATGTTTTTTTCTGGGCAGATATTATAAAATATCTGTTTATTTTTTATGTAATTTTGTACTTTTGCAAAGAACTGAAATTTTTGTATTGTGTGTAACTTTGCAAAATTTTAACGAAAACTTAAAATGGCTTATGAAAATTGAAACTTCAAGTATATTATGAAATTCGAAACACTTGTACTAATAATGCTGGTTATCTATAAATATGGACGGTAAATCTAATTTTTACAAAGAATGCTGTACATAAATAGTTTTCGAATTAGTTAAGATAAGTTTGAAAAATGTAACTAATTACACTCAATATTAAGATTTCGTTTTAATAACATTTTTAATTAATTATCAGATATAAATTTGTAGTTTTAATACTGCATTTAGATTTGTGAATTAAACCTTCATGTGCTAGAATGATGGAGACACAGCTTAAAAATTTAAATCACTAATGACTGTAAAACTTCTTTACACGACTATTTTCGCTTTTGTTCTGTGCTCAAAGCAAAATCAGATTTCATACTCCGTAAACTGGAATTTACAGTATGAATACAGAATTTCCATAGAATCTGTTGTCCCTAAATTAGGCTTGTTGTCTGTTGTACTTTGCATGCGCATGCTGCATGTTCCTGGCTGCATGAAATTATGTGTTTTTGTGTGAGAAATAACTAAATTATGTATTTTTGTTATTGCCAATTTATCGGGATTTGCTTATGTATGAGTTTCTCAAGTTCATACGTTTCATATAAATGTTTGTATTTATTAAATGTTACATAATGTACTAAATATTTGTAAAATGTCTTACACAATGTGCATTTAATTTTCGATTCGTGAATATTTTCAATTCTTTTTTCTAGTATGTAAGTTTTATAATACAAAAATATGAAAATTTTCTAGTATAAAATGTGTAATATAAAAAGTAGTTATATTTTCGAATACAAAAATATGTAGATTTTCTAACACAGAAATTTATAAATTATCTGATATAAAAAGTACGTAAATTTTCTAGCATAAAAAATGTAAATTTTCTAGTATAAAAATATGTAAATTTTGTAGCATAAAAAGTACGTAAATTTTCTAATACGAAACTTTTAAATATAATACAAAGGAAAGAAGTTCTGAAGAATGTCTTTGTTTTCTTCGTCATTAAAAAGTATAGGTGATAAATGAAAATCCTTTTTGCTTTTTTACAAGACAAGTTTGCTTTAAATAGCTTATATGAGATTCATATATTCATTAGCTATTTCCATTAAATCGTAATAATTATTAGAGAAGATATTTCACTAATTCAAATTCCGGAAATGTGAAAAAGTTTCTTTATTTAAATGTGATAAATTCTAAGACTCTGTGCCTTTATCTAAATGTGGAACTTATAATTAATTTCGTTATACGTATGTCTTAAACGGTAAATTTACAGTCAGTCACTATCCGTAATTCATTTGACATTGTTTTAGATGTCATTTATTAGAAAATGATCTAACGAAAAGTTTTTATAATTAATTTACAAGAAATTCGTAAATCTTAGTATCCAACTAATAGGCCATGCAACTCACTTTAGAAATTATGGCTCAGAAACTAGCCGAGGATAAAATAAATGTGACAAACTTTTGTTGGGCAGAAAGTGATGAGCGAAGCAACTAGCTAATATATGCTTCAAATTTTCATCTAGTGATTATCAAGAACTTTTGCTGGCAGATCATTTGCATATTATTATCCCACACAGAAAAGCAAAGTTTATTCAGCAGTATTAAGATGCGAAAAAAATTAGCTAATTTACATTAGAAAGAGATCTAACTAATAATTATCATATAAATCTATTTCCTGCATATTTAAAAATCATATAAATCTATTTCGTGCATATTTAAAAAGGTTTTAAAAAGTACCCAGTTTATGCAAGAATTCAGAATGATTTAATCTTGAAGCATTCTTCTTTCTTATAGAGATTTATTAATAACATTTTCAGAATTCAAAGCCAGACTCGTTGCTTTCTAGCTCAAAAATTAGTAAATTTTGTAAAAATGTGTCGCTTAATTGTTTAATACTTAAATTTAAATTTAAATTAACTTTCGAATCCTTGTATGATAAATAAAAGTAGCTTTAAAAATATACCGGTAAATATTTAAATTGTGTTAAGATAAAAAGCTAATTTTTCATAAGTGTTGCTGCCATTTAATCATGAACTTCCCTTCGACTAGTGATCTGCGCTCAAGGGCTGATCGCCAAGGACAAAAGTGGGACCAGCGACCCTTATGTGACGGTGCAGGTCGGCAAGACAAAAAAACGTACACGCACAATGCCTCAGGACCTCAATCCTGTGTGGAACGAGAAGTTCTATTTGTAAGTATCATTATTATCATTCGATATCTAAGCGTAACTGAATTTTAATTTCCGATGTACTGTTTTATTAGGAAGTCCTATGTAATACGTACTTTATTTCATAAAGTATTACACACCACCTTTCATCTTTTATATAGTTTTTTTCGTCTTATTTTGGTTTTTATTTTTAATGACTGATTATTTCAATTCGCAAAAACTTCGTTCTTATGAGCTGCTTAATAGTATTTTCCATACCGCCTACTATTTATAAAGTATGATCCATTAACACGCAAACATCGATGAGTTGTATATTATGTAATAAATATTCTCAGACTCTGAATTCAATAATTCATTATATTGTATTTGAAAGTAGTAAAAAGCATGTTACAATCATGAATGGTTATAGCAGCAAGTTGGTGGGACTTGTCATGGTAAGAAATCCAAAATACAAAAAATTAGTTACTGAACTTCTAAAAAATTATAAAACAGTGTGTAACATATCTGTTAAGATTGGTCCACAATCTTGATTTTATTCCTGAAACACTAGTACATGAATTTTCTTTAGAATATATGTAGAGTGAAAACATGCTATGACGAAAAATTGCCTCTAAAATGCTAATCGATTGTTGTTGACCTAGAAAAAAACATGTATCAGAGGCAAATTATGTAGAAAATCGTCTAGAATTTTATCCTAAGATTATCATCACTAAGCACTAAAGGCTAATGCATTTAAGAAAATGATATGTTTTGAAAAAATAAAGATTTGTTAACACGAGACCAATTTCCAGTCGTAAAACTTTGGTACGACTAACTTTGGTATTGGATTTCCAATAAGTATAAAATGTGCAATAACATTCAATGTTCGAAGTCTCTGTAAATGCATTAAATGTTTTTGTTCAGAGTAATCTGTATTTCAATTATCGTCGCCTTAATTCCTTTCTTCTTTAACTTTACGAATGTCTGATTTAATTAACAAGAGATAGAAAATAGGATTTCATCTATTTTACTTATATTACTACTGTTTTCATTATAGCTAACTCCCACATGAAAATAATTTTTCTTATGACTTCTAACTAACCTGTAATTTAAACAGTCGCAATACCTAAACTTGTATAAATGGAAATAATGAAAAACCATAAAAAGTTTGGAACTGCAAGAACAAGCAAAAGAAATCGGGGCGTCTTAAAAAACATTTCAGAGAATGGAATTAAAAAGATTTTCCGAGAAAACTTTAGTCTTTTTAATTTCTTAACTCGAGTTTCCGGAGAAGTCAGAAAGCGGGAAGTTGAAAAGACGGAAAAGAAAATATGTATGCATGAACTGCAGCCACAAACCTGTTTCTGCCAGTCGAGATGTTTTCTTTTTTGTTCAAGGCAACTTCTTTCTGAAACTTAAAAATTTCTTACAGTCATCTTTCTTTTCTTTATTTTATTTTACTTTGGCATTTCACCATTTCTGTTTTTAATGCGTTTAGTTTTCTAGTTATTTAATGCATGGTGCATATTTTTTTCTTTTTTATTGATGTGACTAAAGTAAATCATATAAATCATTTGTAAATGAATCCTAACCTAACACAGGAAAAACCTAACGCAGGAAATTAAAAAAAACTAACACAGGAATATCTGAATTACTATTGATAGATTTTTATTTCAAGTAAAGACTCCTTTTTAATACTCTATCAGTTTAGTTTAAACTACTTCCAACGCTTTGCTTTTAATTCTTTCAGTTCCGTTTTTCACATTTATGCAATTTCTTGCTACATATAAGTGTATGAAACATTCACATTACTTGTAATGTTTATTGCCTTGTGACAAATGAAAAGAGTCAATCACATGCAGTTCATAATAAATGCATATGAGAGGTGAACTTTTTTAACTGTTGAAAGAGCTGCTTCCTGTACTATTTTCATTCTTCGAAAAACGTCCTCTCATAATGAAACAGGAAGCTAAAGTTAAAACTGTTCTGTATCTAATTTTTTCTTAAACTATAAATTATTTAGATGTTTCTTTTCAATATTTCACTCCTGAGTCCAAGCAGGGAATTTAATTGTTTTTAATCACTCACCAGTTTTAAAAGAACAAAGGAAGTAAAATTACAGTTATTTCTGCAAAGAATATTTTCTTAAAATCTATTCTTACTTTTTGTAAATAGCTTTTACAACAAAGAAGACATAGTTTTATACCAATAATTGAAACTTTTGTGCGAAGCTGAAGCAAATACAAAACAAAGACCTTCGATAAGCCGAAATTGAAGGGAACGTAAATAATATTCAAGTAATAAAAAGTTTGACTTATTGATAAAATCTAATATTAATTCCATAGTCTAATTTTGACACTCAATTCAGCTTAACAAAATTCTTCAGGTCTTTTCCTTGTCAATATTTTAAACGGTATATTTTGTTTTCACCAGGAACAAGTATTTTCAAGCAAAGTTAATTTTTTTTTTTGATGTCGTGGCTTACTTATGAAACGCTTACTCGTTCTATTCTCGTAACAGTAATGCTATAAGCCTTTAGAAGGGCGCAGAGCCATGAACGGTCTCCGCGGAGTACGTTTTGAAGTAACACTAATCACTGTTATCTTTCTTATTTATAGTATCAGCTGCAATGATTTAAAAAAATTCATTCACAGTAGTAATGAAAATTGTCGTTAAATGTGCTTCGCACATCTTTAAATCTGTTTTTCACAAAACGATTAACATTCTCCAAAACTCTCCAGTTTTATACATGTATATAAAGTGAATCACCATTTATACGTTTTTAGGGGACCAGTCACAAATGACTTATAAATGAGAAAGCCATATAAATGAAATTTTAATTTACGATGTAATTTAATGGAAACACTATTCACTAGTGTAATACAACCTATTTGCCGGGAAGAAAACAACTTTCACATTTCTGTCGAAAGCTGTGATGTGAGGAAGGGAGATTGATTGATCCATTAAAAGTAAAATTTGGCGGTTCTGTCTCCTCATATTTCTGTCTATTATCTGTCCTTCTGTAAAAATATCCGTTCTGTTTTAACCATTCTGTAAAAATGCCGTAGTCATCCATGCTTTCTTATTTGTTGTATATTCTAACGGCAAAGTTTTAACATGATTGAAGGACCTTGGCTTTTGTGACTTTCCTATAACTAAAAGAGTTACCGACCTTCACATAACGAAGACCCTTATAAAGAGTACCCATATTCACGACACCCTAATAAAAGATAACGACCTTCACATCTTTCCAAGGAGGTTCAGTCACCGGGGACTGCTATTGTAATGAGGTTCCCCTTCCTTAAATGCGTTTTTTCAGAGGGGCTATTCAGGGTTCTCAGAGTTCTTCATCGACGACAACGCTCCACCACATCGCACAGCTGCTGTCGAAGAGCTGTTGGAGACTGAGGATATTGAACACATGAATTGATCGGCAAGGTCTCTTGATCTAAATCCCTTCGAAAATGTATGGAACTTTCTGGAGAGACGCGTGGCAGCACGTAACTTATTGCCAGTAACGATTCCGAAGCTGCGATTGGTGCTACAAGAGAAATAGGCAGCGGTGCCTCAACAACTCATTGACAATCTCATATTCAGTATCGACAAATGATGTGAAACGTGCACAGCTGTCAGGAGAGATCAAATGCCCTACTAAAGGATGGATGTTTCTTCCTGGACACCTGTCACATGGATGAAAGCCTTCTGTTGCATTGTGCTGCATGCTGCTTTTTCAAGAAAGTTCCTTTCTATCATTTTGATTTCTTTTTTGGGAAATTTTGCTTACATTATCCATGTTCTTAGATCTTGGGAATCTTATGGTATTATTTTTGTTGATTTGGAAAGCTTTTTCACAACGTTATATTGAAAATACCGTCTCGTCCTGAATTTTTGGTGTCCGGTTGCAATGAATCTGAAAGTCGCAAATTCATTTACTTATCAGGTGGAAGGCCGCAACTACAAAATATATTCCCTTATCAAAACCATAAATAGTTACATATACTAATTATTACAGGAAAACATAATTATGTATTTTGTAAGTAACATACGTATTCATTATAAAAATATGGAAGAGATTTCCATATCTATTTCTATCGATGCGACTTGCAGCAAAATAAATAGATAACAATTTGTGAGACAACTTTTGCACTACACCTTTAATACACAACGCTTTTCAATACACTTTTTAGTATTGTTAAACTTCAAATTGGGAAATGCATTTTGATGCAAATAAGTATTTTCAAACTTTGAACTTCTTTTTTCGAATGAAAGCGTACAGTATACGATAAGTACAGTATTCATTGGAGAGATGTCTGGTCCTTTTTCATTACATTATTAAATAATGCAGAACAGCTGTTTTGTTTATCAAGCTTATACATCCTAAATTCAGTTTTTTTCCGTGCTATTCTAAATGTTCCACAGAGCTCTGAGAAATACGCTATTTTTTCTTCTCACTTCAGTGCTATTTGAAACAAGTATCAATTCATTTTTCCTTAAAATAGCATGATAAAGTTTCAGTTTGTTTCGGAATCCATTAATGTATTTCATAAGGTCCAGCAATTAGTTCCTTATAATCGTAGTTGAGTTCATTTAAGTGGCCTGTCATACTTGATAAAATTCACAACGGTCTTAAGAAATTTAGTACTTCGAAGCGCGTTCGTATTCTGTGTTTTACGTTTACTTCAGATCTTTTTCAAATAATGATAAATGCAGTTTACACGCAGTTTTCATATCGTCAAATATAAAATGAAACTAAATCTATTTAATGAGCCACTTGATACAGCTTAGAAGACCGCATACAGCCCGCGGGTCAACTTTTGAATAACCGTGTTCTATAGCATCCATATCACGCAAAACTTAGAATCTATAAAATCGGTGTTTCGGATAAAAAGTACTTAGATACATATTTGATCTGATTGAAAATCAAGCTATGAGTGTTGCAAAATAATTTATTTATAGGCATCTTAAAGTTTATTCATTTGTTTGACACGATTCGCCGTAGCATACGTCATTTCAAAGTTCACTGTTATTTGATTCATTATTTATAAATAAGGGCATTTCAGATACTAATCTGTGTTAAAATATGCAGCAACTGAAGTTTGTTGAAAGATTCTGTTATTAATTAGTAAATGATTACTTTATATTTTGAGTATCGTAATATAATAAAGGGCTAAAAAAGTAAGAGATTTAAACATTAAAACTTATTTTGCTTATAAAACTATTTTTTGGTAATTTTCTCCATTTAGAAAAGAATGAAAAGGTGTGCTTAATAAGGAATATTTACCCATCCTTTTCGAATGGAAAAAATTATTGTAAAAGCATTCAGAAAATTGTTTATCTTACAGATCCTCTATTAACTTTGGTATCATCAACCTAAGAGTGTACCAAAAGTCTAATTAAAATTTTAAAAAATCTGCGAGTTTCTTAGTATTTTTTAATTTATTGCGACACTAAATTTAACATTTTTCCTTTCAGCGAGTGCCATAATTCTTCCGATCGCATCAAAGTACGCGTGTGGTAAGTTATTTCTTAGTGTTATCTTAAAAATAATAAATAATACCTGTAATCTATGATATAATTCTTATGTTAATTGATCAGATGAGTTCTCTTAGAATATGGTTATTTATTTTAAAGATTAGATTCCATGTCTTACTCACTAAATTATTAAACTCTGTATGTTATTTGGAGGTGACAGTCCGTTAAATCCGACGTAATGTGAAATAAAAACGCAAAAGAACATTTTAGCAAAATACATACATTGATAAAAATTTTAGACGCCTGTGGTATTATATATAAGTGTTTCGTATGATGTATATTTGAGGTTACTGAATTACTATAGAATTTGATTTACGTTTTCTTATATAATATTTTCTTGAATTGTTATATAGAAACTCATAATTTTTATACAGGGTTAACTTAGTTTACTGATTTCGAACATAATTACTTGACTATTATTAGCTTAATTTATGTCTAAATACAAATATACAGAGTAGCTACAAAAGAAAAGTTACTTGTTTTGGGGATTAATGGTCCTTTTTTGGGTAAAATTACTTCCGTTATTAAATATTTAGCTGCGACTTAAAGATTTTCATTTAGCATATCTCTGCAAATTTTGAACCTAAAATTATCGAATTTCCTATTTTTAATTCACTAAGACTTCATGAATATTTAGAATTTTGTTCTAAGCGGCCATATATAACTTATATATATATATATATATATATATATAAGTTACGTTTTGTTTTTAGACACCACAATGTTGTTCTCTCCACCACAGTATTGAAATTGTTTTCATCTAATACTGCCGTTTCTTTTAACAGATTTTAAAATAGAAATAAAAGTAGTGGATAAATGTTCAAAAAATATATCCCGTTTCCAGTTTTTCGAACACCGAATGGTAGCAACATTTCTAAACTTTGCTAAAATTGGCACAAGTTATCTCACAGCACAACGTACCAAGGTACTATCACTATATATGTATAGTTCTGCTAACATTACCGACTTCTTCATTGCTGAAAGCGTTGTTGACCCGTTAAACATTTTAGTCTTCTTCGAATAATCACCCTGTCATATTTTAGAATATATCATTCTGATTCCAGTAAAAATGGATTTGAATGTTACCCTTCATTACTAATAATTGGTATGGCTGTGCGAAAGCTGTTTCTAACAACTGATCAAACCACTCAGTGGTGAATTGAGTTAGACGATGTAATTAATTAGTTTATTAATGAGCTGTTACTCTTACATTCTAATAATAGTAAATAAGTTCATCGTGAGTATTGGCAGAAAAATGCTGAATTGCACGAATTCGGGGTGCGAAATAAACGTGATAACGCTCTAAGCATCTCACGGAGGAAACATTATTCAATCAATTGCATAATTAATTGGATAAAAGTGATATCAACCACATAATTGGTTAGATAATAATAAAGAAACTTCATAATCAATAATCGCCGCACATACAGGCTGAATTTTCTCAGATGAAAGCTTACTTTAAAAACTTTCATATAAATTATCACCTACTAAAAATTTAAATCGTGCCATACTACGCATTTTAGTTTTCCATGCCTCAGTCTCAAAAAGAACACATTGTCATTTTCGTTCTTATATTACTCCTTTTAGAAATGCCTGCAACAATACTGATCTAGTCTTTCCATAGAAAATATATTTTGGAATCTGCCTGCATACAATCAAAAATCTATCTCCATTCAAAAGTTGAAAGCGAAGAAATCGTCTGGAGATTTTAATGTCATCAATAAAATAATTCCTGTCATCATGAATTTCAAGCTTGTTAAAATAATTAACAATATGTTGGTACATTCAACTACTTTCCTTCCGTATTAAAAATGGCAATCGTTTTGCAAATATTAAAGCCAAAGAATCCAGACAATGATTCCATGCTCTGTCGCCCAGTTAGCAAATGTTAAGTAAATTAGATGACTCTGTAATTTAATAATTACCTCAAAATCTATTCTTTCTTGTACTAATGGAGTTTTAGAAAGAAACATTCAACTGTTCATTAATTTTTATGCGCCACCATTCTTGTCGCCGATAGTTTTCAGACAGCTTTATTCGCAGATATCCGTAAAGCTTTTGATCGTGTTTAATTCATTTGCAAACTAAACTTATCTCCCGCCTTCTTATCATGCCTTCGTGGTGTAACGGTCAGCACACTCGGCGCTTATTCGAGTCCTCACAAAGGCACTACTCATTTCTTCGATTTCTTTGTTTCGAAAAATTCTAAAAATGACTCTACAGTGGTGCCCGAACTAAAAAAGGTGATAGTTGATGATTCTCCACCACCAGGATTTGGCAATTGGGTCCCCTGATCCCCAGTCGCCCTTTAAAAGAGAGAGTAAGGTATTTCTCCCGCCCTCTTAGCATGCCTTCGTTCTGTAATTGTCAGCACACTCGGCGCATATTCGAGAGGTCCGTGGTTCGAGTCCCAGCGAAGGCATGGCTCATTTTTAATCTCTCCTGCATCGAAATAACCTAATGTCTCTACAAGCTCTGGAATTGCGAGAACACATTAGTTATTTCTACCTAACTATTAGACGCTTTGTCGTTGACATTAAGAACACATACTTCATGCATTGCCCAAGTATGGTTGGCTTTCCACAGGGATCTTTACTTTGCTTAACTCTGTTTAATACTTATGTGAACAACATTCCTCACACTCAGTACACTCTTTTTGAAATATATATTGATGTTATAGCGATCATTACTCGATGTGAATCTCTCAGATCGAGCATAACAAAACCATATTAAAATTAACGAGCATAACAAAACCATATTAAAACCCGTCTGGTCCTCAAAAATTAAAATTAACTAACGGGCAAACCCGCCAGATGAGCGGGCTGAAGCCAAAGCATAATTTGTAAGTTCTATGTATCCCTGAAAGTAAATATATGATAACGTTTCAATATGAAAGAAGTTAATTCATTCTTTCCATTAAACAGCCAATTCATAAATAATTTTTTAATTGCCGAAGCGGGAAACAAAAATTTTTGAGACTTCAGGTTAATACGTATGACGTCATACAACGTTAAATTTCATGTAATATAACAACTTTTTCTCAATATTAATAAAAGAATTAACGTGGCAATAATATATCGTGGCAATTATACTAAACTGAAACAAAAAAGTTGCCAACAGCAACTATTTATTTAAAATGCCGATATTAGCATGTAATTTTCGAAATACAGTGACGTCACAGGCAATCGCATGCTTTCTTCAACGTCAGAATATGATCCTATTTAATAATAATATGCTTAATGTTTGGAATTTTTATTTCATATTTTGTAAAACTTACAAATTTCTGATTAAAAAACTCTACGATTTGAAAGCCAGCAGTGGCGACACTTCTCGAAATAAAGAAGATTTTTATCTGGACGTCCAGACGGTATAGTGGCTAGGGAAGCATGAAGTGTTTAGGGAAGAGCTTGACTGCGATACCAAAAGGTCCGGGTTCGAATTCCGGAGAAGACATGGATGTATAATTGTCTGTTCCTTCATAGGAGGTAACGGTGGCCGCCTATTAGGTCCCTCAATAATAAAATGGTCACCATTTATGGCCTTAGTAATGGCCAGTGCTGTTATAGGCAAGTGCCCGCCATTGGAAAAGAAAGGGAGAGACGATTTTTATCTCTAGTGCGCGAGACTGTTGCGTGAAAATTAGCGTTTTCATAGTTTTTAATTCATATCTCGGCTGATTAAAGTCGTACGAAGATGGTAACAGTCGAAATAGCTTCCCACGAATTTTTGGAATCGGAAAAATTGTTTGGTATGTATTTAATGTTTGGCAATGCTATTTTTATTTAATATTTTGTAAAACTTTGACATTTTTATTAAGAAACTCTACGATTTGAAAGCGAGCAATGGCACTCTTCTCGAAATAAAGCAGATTTTTACCTGCAGCGTGCGAGACCGTTGCCACTCGGGAAAATGAGGGCGAAAATTAGCGTTGTCCGAGTTTTAAATTAATGTCTCTACTAATTAAAGTCGTACGAAGATGAGAATTGTCGAAATGGCTTCCAACGAATTTTTGGAATCCGGGAGGTACCTCTCTCGAACCTCATCTCCCCGCCGTTCCGGAGGAGATAATGCCACAAACAGACAGACAAACGCGCACAGCCATACTCTTCACTTTAATAGTAATCTTTCATGTAATGGTAATTTATTATGGTAGTACTAATCTATATACTTATACACTAAATTAAGGGATTTCGAGCTGCTAAAATTTATACTTCACTCCTTAATTATTCGAAAAGGCATTTCAGCTCTGACAATTACTTACTCAACTACAAGTTATTTCATTAATGTAAAACACATCTAAAATATCTGTAATAAAGTCAAAATGTTACTTGACTACAACTAACCAGTGTAATCGTGTACATTAGAAATGACCAAATACGTAAGTAATTGCAACCTCATGAAAATGAGATATTTATGTCTAGACTCAAATATTTATAATAACATAACAAACGTAAATAAAGTCTAACTCCATTCCTAAATTAGAATTTCGTTAACCTATTTATATGAAAGTCCTAAAGCAACTCTTAATTCTGTTAATAAAATCAGCATTTTTATATAACCATATATAAAAATGCTGATTTTATTATATATATATATATATATAACATTTATTATATCTTAATATAATAAATAGTATTTATTTTTATGTTTTTTTTTTACCTTTAATATATTTAATTAGTATTTAACTTTATTTGTTACACTTCGTTTACTCTTTTGGCTAAATTTTAAATTTTTAGGGCTCTTAAAAAAATCCTTTCTTACCTCCTTACCAAATTACATGTAATAAAATGGTTGTACTTAACTAATCATACGCCGAGAACCTTTATCCTCGAAGTAACTTATTTCTCTCACTGTTCACTCTCCATCTGCTTTGTATACAATGCTAAGATATTAAAAATAAATAATAATTCCCGTTATCTGGAACTCTGTTTACCAAACTGAATTCAGGAATTGTTAGCCTTTCTTAATGAATTATTCGTTTCAGTCCAGTAAATTTCTGCTTGTTTATTATTTACATGTTTTTATTAACTTGTTAAAAAACGTTTCATAATTATTTTGCAATAGTCTGCATTATTTACTTCCAAATTGTAATTTAATATTAATAAAGGAAACACCTTAGCTTAATTTTTGATTGAATAAAAATAGGCTATGCAATTTGTTTTAATCAAAAATATTAGTCTTCTTTGAATTTAGTACGAAAAGCATAATTAAAAAATTGAGTGTTTAGTTTTAAGGCTTAGACAGATAAAAATTAATTTCATTATTTTATTTTATTTAAAGCAGAAATAAATCATAGTTTTCGACAAATAATTTCTATGTATAATTTCCACCGTACAAAAAAGCCATTTTGAACTCAACAATACATTTTTAAATAAACTAGAATAAACAAAATATAATGCGTTTTTTGACTCGGATAAAAAACGCAATTCAATTATTAGTTCTTTCTGATTATCCGAGTGGGCTCTGATCCCAGTTAATCTAGATAACTGGAGTTCTGCAGTATACATCTACTAGATGTACTTCCTTCTTAAATTTTAGCGACAGCGTCCGTAACCATCATAAATAACGTTAAGGTACAATACCATGATTTACGTTCATTCTCTTAAATTTATTGCTTAATCATTTCAAACTATCGACTTCGAACTTTTTCTTTTCCTGTTAATTGCATCATTTATCAATGGTTTGGATAATCTGTGTTCTTTCCCCCATTCTTTATGATCAATGTGCTTTATTAGATTTATATATATCGAAAGAGAAAGAGATAAAAGGAGAAGGGTATATAAGGGTATATATTTTTTCTTTCCTTAATGGCTTATATATACAATATATATATATACTTATATTTTATTCCTTAATTTTTTTTCAAGTCTAAATAGATTTTTAATGACGTTTGATAACCGTCATCTTCTACTCTTAAACAGGGATGAAGATAATGACTTAAAGTCGAAACTGCGACAGAAGCTGACGCGAGAGTCTGATGACTTTTTGGGTCAGACTATTATAGAAGTACGCACACTCAGTGGTGAGATGGACGTCTGGTATAACTTAGGTGAGTATTAGTACTTTATACATTACCCAAACTGCAGAACTACTGAATTAGTAAAAACGACACCCAAACCAAATTTATTGATTGAAAATAAAATTCTAAAAATATTCTGAATTTTTTAATATACTACTAAATACGAAACTTCTTATTCAAGTATAATCGCATTAAGAAACCAATGATAAGCCATTAATACCTATCATGATTTTTATAAATCTCAGTCAACCAACTTTAAAAGTTACCCTGTTAGGGAAAAGAGACTGAATACAGTATGGATATTTAAATATTTATTCACTCATTTCTATTCTATTAAAAGTGTATAAATATCACAAATGTCTTATAAGATGTTTCATATGCATAGTGTGTCTCGAAAATTTTATTTGCAGTAAAATATATACCTTTCTAAAGCAGATGTTGGGAATATGCTCCAAAATCCTGAAGATCTGCCAAAATAATCGTTATATTACTAGCAACCATCTGTGGAATGGCTGATGAAATTTGATGAATGTGGGTAATGATTTTATTGGAGTGAATTGTGCATATTTCAATGAACAGTTACTTTTAGGACTTTCCATGCAACGTGCATTAGAATCACATGCAAGGAAGGCGCATCCGTTTGACTTTTAGTAGATAATCATTCAAAGTTGTTTAAAAGCTTTTGTATCCTCATCTTGTTCTTTTTCTTTTCTTTCATTTTGTATATGTCTTTTTTCCTTCACATTTTTGTTCTTTCGTCAGCAGAGGACGCTAAATACTTTTTGGTGTTCAAGATTAAAAAACAACTTCTCCGATATATGAAACGTAGCGGCCCGTCCGCTCAACTAATGGAAATGCAATTTCAGGTATTTTTATTTGAAAGCATGTGCTCGAGATTCTGATGATTTAAAATAAGAGAGCTCTCATGGCTACGGTTACGGTGAAATGATTTTAAAAATTTCGAACCGTAAGATCATAAATGACGTTGGAACGATACACATATGACGAAACCTTCCGCGTGAAACATTTGCAAAGAAGAGCATTGATAAAGATCAGTGATAGAGAAGTTGCATTGACGGACTTTTCATACGAATTCCAAAGAGGCCACTCCCACAGGTATGAAAAAGTGCTCCATCACAAGTGCTTGTTATACAGCAATGTTGCAAAATTACGTAATTCCGGAACTGCAGCAGGGAAACGTTGTTAATGGAATTGTTTGGACGCAAGATGGTGCTCTCCATACGTGGCCACTTCTATTCAGAAAGAGCTGCAACAACACCTTGGAGATAGAGTCATCTCCCGTAGCTTTGCAGTTTCTTAGCCACCTCGATTTCCCGACCTAACTCCGATAGATTTCGGGTTCTGAGATTATATGAAATCCGAGATTTATATATCAGATCCATCAGATTTGTCAGAGTAGAAAGACTCCATAAAACGTGAAACTGTGCAGATTGCTCCTGCGATGTTACGTCCGTCATTGCTTGCAACAATCTCACGCGAAAGCAATGCTTTATCGTCTGCGAAGACCTGGTACGTTAAAAACAAGTAAATTTCGAAATTTTTTCACTGTAACTATATCCGTGAGAGTTCTGTTGTTTTAAATCGTCTCAATCTCGGGTTCATACTTTCCGAAAACAGTATTTAAAATTGCAATTCGATTGCTTGAGCGATTGACTGCTAAGGGTTGATATATCGGGAAAGTCTTTATGGTTCATTATATTACAGTTTTAACCAACGCGCACTCACAGACTTAAAGTAGAATATTGAGTCTGTATTTTTGTTACAGTCGATCTCTAACAAATATTGAATTTTTCCAGTTATTAGAATCCTGAATTAGAGCTGTTATAGATCACAATTATAAACTTAAAAAGTTTGAAAAATAATTGTCGGAGAAAAGTTTGTTTACCAAAAAAGGGAATTATTGAATAATCATTTCCAGAAAATGTATATGTTATTCTTCTACGATTTAGACTTATATGTGCGTTTGAATTGACGTCCTTCAATAAAGTCATTGAATTATATATATTAAAGTTTTTATGATTATGTTTAATTAATTTTCGTACCTTTTCCTGGTTTTGCATAATTATTATATTTAAATTACGAAGTATTCAAATATTGCTACTGGTGTTTTTATAGTTTGTTGTTTACTGTTTTTTTTTTTTTTTTCCAAACAATTTCAGTTTTATATAATACTTTTGGCTTATTTATTTTGCAGTTGATTTGTGTTATCTTTTTTATTCTTTTGAGTACAAGTAAGAATTATTCTTTCCTCCTTCCACACAGAAAAGCGAACGGACAAATCTGCCGTGTCTGGCGCCATTCGATTGCATATCAGTGTTGAAATCAAGGGTGAAGAAAAGGTGGCTCCCTATCATGTACAATATACATGTCTACACGAGGTACAAAATAATTTTAATTATTAGTTTGCATTTAAAACTCTGAGATTTTTATATCAGCTGACGCCTTAACTGAAATTATATTTGTGAATCTTCTTGTACAAAAATTATGTTGAAACTAGCGGGCTAAAGCCCACTTTCGTTCGCCTGGATTCGAAAGTTGAACCGAACTACCAGTGTTCAGCGATTTTACCTGGGCTGCGCTCGCTGTATTCACGTATGCATACACAACATACCCGTTCAGCGAGATTCGAATGTTTTAATGAACTACCAGTGCTCAGGGATTTTACTCGGGCTGCGATAGCTTTATTCCCGTATGCATCCACAAGGTACTGCACACACGATACACATGCGGAAAATCACGAAACCATCCATGCATCCAGCCCGTTCGCCGGGATTCGAAAATTGGACCGAACTACCAGTGTTTGGCGATTTTACTCGGGCTGCGCCCGCTTTATTCACGCATTCATCCACAAGATACTGCATAGAAGTTACACATGCGGAAAATCAGGAAAAACCCCATGCAGCCAGCCCGTTCGCTAGGAGTCAAAAAATGGACCGAACTACCAATGTTCAGCGACTTTACCTTTCAGCAATGCAGACAGCCCGTTACTACCAATGCAGCCAGCCCGTTCGCCGGGATTCGAAAGTTGGACCGAACTATCAATGTTCAGATTCTAATACTTCGAAGTGTTTATCGTTACATTTTTGATTCGAAGTGTTTATCGTTACAAATTTGATCTTAGCTTGTAGATTTTGGTTTAATACTTGAAATAGTATTTAAACTAGGCAATTACGATAGACATACTGATTTTAAAAATACTGCTCCAGAAATTTAATGCATACAATATAAAATTGAATATTTAAAATAAATTGTTCAAAAACTACAAAATCCAACATTAAGAGACTTAATTATTTAAGACATAGCTGCGTGCTTATTTCTTTCTATCACTTATACATAAGCAATAAATACTTTCTCAAGTGGTAAAACTTCGTATTTCGCATAAAATCCACTTACTGAAAACTCTTCAAAAAGATATCTTTTCCGGTGTTTAAAAAGTAAACATAATGTTTCATTAATAATTAATGATTTTTATTACAAAATATATATAATAATGCGATGCATTATGAGTACAATTGTTGTTAACTGTTTGATAATTACTGTAAATTGATTGATAGTTATTGTAAATATATATAATTCCTTCGAAAGTACTAGTTCATATAATCATATAAGTAAATAAATATAATCATTTAAGTAAATAAATACAATATAAGTAAATAAATATAATCATTTAAGTAAATAAATACAATATAAGTAAATAAATATAATCATTTAAGTAAATAAATACAATATAAGTAAATAAATATAATCATATACTTAAATAAATACAATTTATATAAGTAAATAAATGCCTTATTTTTAAATATTATTTGTTGGAAAAATCATAAAAATAACTGAATATAGTGATAATTTGTGCAATAGTTGGTTAAAAATTAATTCATTTCTTATATTATGTCCTAACATTGCAACTTGAATAGTCAGTGTCTAAAATTAAATAAAAATTGTTGATTTAAATATATAAAATAAATATTTTTTTATAAATTTGTTAGTAAAAATCATTTATACAGTCTTTAAAATATTCTAATGGTATTCTTTATTTTTAGAATCTTTTTCATTATTTATGTGAACAAATAGGAAGTGGTGAAGTGAAATTACCTGAAGCAAAAGGGGTGAGTTTGCCTTTTAATTCTCCGTTTACGTGTCTGTGTTTTCTTCGAAAAGAATTTGTTTGAGTCGTCTACAAAATTTGTTTTCTTTGTTAGAAGCAAAGTCCGTCATGGAAATTTATAAAAAAGTTATGAAGAATAAATATTCAAAGGACATAAATTTTACATAACATTTAAATGTTTAAACATTGTCGAGCCTGCCCAAATTCCTGGGTGTTATTTCATTTCCGCCTTGGTTATGCCATATGTTTTATATTGACTTCGACAAGTAGGAGGGGTGACAAGGCTTAATTCTAGGTGCTCGGAATTAGGGGCTGCTTCTTATAGTGGGTCGGTAAGTGAAATGATATGAGCAGAAGATAAAAAAACCTAAATAAAATATTAATTTTTTATTTATCATTAGAACTAAAATTAATCATTTAATCATTTTACTAGGCACATTACCTTATCTTTGAATCTTAATTCATTCTTAGAATGACTGCCTTGTTGGTTTCTAATAATTTTATAAACTACTATTTTAAATAAAAATTATAAATTAATTTATAACACTTTAAAATCTTACATTTACCTGAAGACCTCACCTGCAAGTTGATGCAAATTCCAATAAGCACAAAAACTATTTTAATCCAAAAATCTCATCAGATAAAAATATAGGAAGAAAGCTTGAATATTTGCCCATTCCTCATCACGTGGTTTATATTTACATTGACTAGATTACCCAGCATCAGAATAGCAACACTGTTTTCGCTAAACTAAAGAAAATCTCTACGACCTGTACTGCGTCCTGTTGTCTTATTTTAAATGCTGTACAGCATCATATACATATCTTAGTAATAGCTGGAAGTTCTGACATGGAAACCCGCATGGAAGCTATGTTTCTAACTGAAGTTACAATAATATTTTAAGGGCGAAAAAGAATCCCTAATACATATGCTCAATGAAATATTTGATTAGATGTTAAAATCTCATTAATCATATTATGTATATATTTAATAATAAACGGAATATAAAACTTACACTGATTATAAAAAACACAATTTAAATTTTTGTTCAAAGAAGTTCATTGACATAAACGGAAAATTCACAGCTCTAAAAATATCAAGTAGTGAAATTACAGTCTTTGCCTAAAACTTTATGACATAACGATTTTAATTTACTTGCGTAGAAATTTATATAAACTGAAGTCAGCGATGTATTAATTAGAGATTGCATGTATCACAGTAGAACTAGAAGCCTTAGATTCACTATTTGCTTCTTTGTTTGGAGCATTACATTCAAACAATTTAATTTGGGACCGAGAGTTCGAAAACAGAAACTTATTAGTGTTATTATTATTCTCTTTACTTGTAGAGTGTACCTCGTTTTACATTCGTAGTCCCAGAATTTTCTTACACGACTTAACAATTAAAAAACGTATGAAGTTTCATACAAGATCGATTTTTTATTTCAGCAGACACGGGTAATCCTAAAAACTGGAATTACTTTAATGAAGTTGAACCAAATATTTGCATTCTGTGTTTTCGATGACTTAAGTTAATCGATGAAAGGTTATGTGAATTTGGCATTTATTATAAGACTTATAAAGTATATTTCCGAAACTTTATGCATCTTGTTGATATTTCATCGTGTTGAAAAAGCTTCTTAATTTGCGGTTCTTCAGTTAATTTTGATCAGATTCTAAGCATTTTCACTTTACGTTTTCCCAATAATCATAAAAATTAAAATTATTCTTTTAAAATCATATTTTTCCCAATTTTATAAAATATCAGTCTTTGTTTTCTAGGATGATGCATGGAAAGTATATTTCGATCAACCTGCTCAAGATATTGTGGACGAATTTGCTATGAGATACGGTATTGAATCTATCTACCAAGCAATGACGTAAGTTCGACTTTGTGAAAGTTAAAAACATATTTTAAGTTTCTGTATAAATCGAACTGATGCTTTAAAACTTAATTTTTTCCCATGGCGAATACTTCTCAACTCAGATTTAAAGATCTATATCTAAAAAGAGTTTCGTTTTCGTAATTATTAAAATAAAGTAACACATAGTGATTTTATAAATTATAAATGGCATCCTACATATGAAATCATACATTATTCTTTGAGATAATGTTTTAAGTAATTTGCAGCCGTGTTCAAAATCATCATTAATTATTTTCACATCTGTTCTTTTAGAAATCCAAAAATAACGTTTCTTCACATTTATTTATTATACTCTTTAAAGAATTTGAAAAGATGGGGTATGCGGGATTTTATTTGTATTTTCAAAAATGTTACGCAAAATGATTTAGCTAAACATCCTTAAGTTTGGGTCTGGTGGTTAAAAAACAAAACACATAGTTGTATTAAAATTGAAAGGCAAAATTCATTTTACTAGATATCGCACCCGCATCCTTTGGATCAATCATTTGAGTAACTCTTCGTTAAAACAATAAGTCCGGGAGCAGCACACCGTGAAACATAAACAGTTCCAATCTATCTACTCTAGAATCTATAAAATATATGAAGGTATAGAAACTATTATTCGAGTAACAATTTCACATGTATAAAATATATTTCAGTATAAATTTAAATTAATTTCATAGAGCAGGTGGACTTAGTTTAATGCAAGAATATTATTTCTTCACTTTGCTTTTAGTTTAATCTTTATATCATTATAAAAATTAGATTTTTTAAACTGTAAAATTTAATAAACTATTGAAGTAGCACTTTGAAATTCGTTTTTTATAACAGTGAAAGAAGAGAAATAGCAGAAAGTAACTGAAAATAGTTTGCTTTGAATTTCGAATAAAAAGAAAACATTAGAATATAAGTTTTCTCTCTGTTTTCGTTGAGAGTTTGCGATATGACCTCAATTCTGCTTTTAATTTCTTCTTCCGTGAACTTTGTTGCATGTAATTCAAATTAGAGTTTTAACAATTAAGTAGTTTATCACTTACGAAAACAGTCATTTTGAATTTAATCAAAGTAAATATATGCATGAAGTCATCAACGATCATATCTGATTCTCTGTGGGTGAACAAAGTGTAGCCGAAATGTAATAGATTGTTGCTAGAAACTTTTATATTGACAAAGTTTGGAATTTCCTATAACTAAGACGAAATGTGTAATCCTTATTTCCTATCAGCCTAACTGCAAATTCCCAAGGAATATTAGGTATAAATTTACTACATTTTGTATTAGCGTGTGCGTGTTGATGGCATATTAGAAATACAGAATAAATAAAGCATTTAACAACTTTTTAAATTTTGAATAACTTAGACCTCCACTCAAACATGTGTACCTGGAAGACCGAATTTTCAATTTAGAATTTCTTTTAATATCTATTTCATATTTATGAAACTTGAATGAATTTTTGATTAACAAGTTCGATGATTTTAAAGTGAGCAGTGACAGCATTATTCGAAATAAAACATTTTTATCTGTACCGCGCAAGACTGTTGCCATTCGGAATGATCTAAAATATGTATCTTTAAATTTTAGATTAACAAATTCTGCTCTAGGAAAGTAATGTGTTGCCGCGGTCGGAAATAAAATTCCATGCTCCAGCTAGTTGCAATTCAGTAAAGCCTAAACTACTTTCAGATTTAATGTGGTAGGTTACTGAGTGATACAATTGGTTTAAAAGCAATAAATATAGTTTATAAGAATATTTTTCTACTTTTTAATGTGATTGATTTAAATGAAAAGGCATTAAAATCATGAAATGTCTAATTAGAAATATTAAATATGTTTATAAAATTAGACTAGTTGCACGTATTGAAACCATTATATACTTTTCATTTTTTACGATAACTATTTTAGGCGCCTAGTCACGGAAGCAACTAGTTTATAAAGATGTAATGTATCTAATATCAAAATAAGTATGGTAACCTCTAACACTCTATTGGGAATTCTAAAGATATGCTGTTTTTAAATATTTTGTAATTTGCTGTTGAATTTAAGTGCAAAGAACGTGAAATTTAATAAATAAAATTAACACATAAAAAGTTAATAATAAAAAGACATAAAAATGTGATGAATTGAGAAAAAGTTGAAAAAAATATAAAAATGCATGCCAACACCTAACACTGCATTGGGAATTCTAAACATATGCTGCTAGGCAGCTTTTAAAATTTTGTGATTTTGTTGTTGAATTGTATGCGGCGTAAGTGCGAAGAAAACGATGTTTAATAATAAAGCTAAAAATGCGGGGGGAAAAAAGAAGAAGGTTAGCAGGAGTGTATGTAAGAGCAGACTTGGTAGATTGCGAGCTTAGAGAGGATAAAAATTCCTAAAAAAACCTATTCGGCGACCGTTAAAATTTGAAAATTCAGATTTTTTCCCTTATGTCCTACTTTTAATACGATCCTCATAATGATGCAAGAACATCCAGAAATCCTCGAAGCAAATGAAAGTAATCAACCCGAATTTACGAGATATTCCTTCGATGGTGTTTGACCTCTCTAAACGAGCTCATCCCGAGGAATAAGGAATTTTTTAATACAGAATTTCATTCATTTTCTGCCATACCTCGTATACTGCGTACTTATGTTTTGCGTAATGTTGTATTACTTGTATTAATTAATGTTGCTGAAGTTGCGTGTTGATGGCGTATACGCAACACATTTATTCTTATATAATATCAGTTTGAGAATTCTTTTCCATTTGTTGCAGACATTTCCATTGCCTGTCCACCAAGTACATGTGCCAAGGAGTGCCCGCCGTTATGAGCACACTCTTAGCCAATATCAATGCCTACTATGCACACACCGCTGCTTCTTCCGCCGTCTCCGCTAGTGATAGATTTGCTGCCTCTAACTTCGGGGTGAGTATTCTAATATTATACACTTAAATAGTAATTTTAAGCTTAATTCCTGCTGCTTAATTAAATATCAAAATGTATTGTTTAATTATAAAATAAGTGGATTTTCAAATGCACTAACTTAAATGTCGAAATCAGCAGCTGTTGGGTGCTAACAAGCATGCATTGTGAGATACATAGATAGATTTTAATATCGATTGCCTTTTGCAGTGGTTGTGAAGTACATTCGTCTTAGAATGCTCTCTCAGATTCTATCCTAACTAAAGCCCTTTCATATTTAAATTCGTTTTCATAAAGAAACCAAAATTCTTCAGCATTGGCTACTTCAATCGAAGGCACTGGCAGAATCACAAAGACACGTTTTATGAGCCTGAATACCTAACGCTAACATTTCTAGTCTGGTAAATCATGTGTATAATTTTTTCGATATATTAATGTGGCGCACGAACATAGTATGTATTTCGTATTATTTGTTGTTGTCTTATTTATGACAGAGATACCGGTTTAGTAACTTTGAATTTTTTTACGTTCTATTATCTCAGCGTAGCCTTCAAAAGCGCATGAAATCGTTGTACTGTAAGAATTTATGTGATGATTAACGACATGTGACAGAATAAATTGAGAAGTTTCATAACTGCATTATTAAAAATTATCTGCCATGATTTCATTAATAATTTCATCGGAATAACAATCTCTTCAGCTGATTTCCCATACAGTCATCACGCTGCACTCGTATATTTTCCACGGGCACCTCTAAAATACCTTAAATCATTGATCTCAAGCTCAAATTGCGTGATGGCCACATGCACGACCTGAAAACAACCTGGCGGGCCATTATTTTTTCCCCTTCTTTTACATATATAGAATGGAAGTTTTTAATAACAAAATGAAAAAGATTTAAAATAAATTTTAAATTTCCTTCGCTAAATATTTATCAAAGCATAATAAATAATAATATTGTTACTTTAAATGAAAACAAGTTTATATTTTTTTCGTATTTGAAATCTGACGTTTAGTACCTGCAAGACATTTGTTTCTGGTTCCCTTTGTAATTTAAGAATATGCTGACAACTAAATATTAAATTCTTAGACTGACTTTTCTTTGAAATAATTTTAACATGTTTAATTAGTCATTAAATAATTTCGTTTAAACTAAAAATAAACAAATTATGAAAACTTTCTAAGTTTTCAGAGAATATTTACATGTGGGGTCAAACTTAAGAAAAAATAATCACAATGTTAGGAATTAATAATGATTCTTTCTCTTATTTATTAAGTTTTTATTCGAGACATAAATAAACGTACATTAGGTGTGCATGTAAATAATTATAAACTTCTTTCTTTCTGAGTACAGCTTGTTGGCGTTTCGGCTCTGGTAAAGTTTGTAACCTTGGACAGAAATTGCTAGAAATTATCTTCATTGCGGATTATTGATGCTCGTTGGTCAATCGGATTCATTTCTTATCAGTTTTTAACTGTGAAAAAAAGCTGTTCACGTAAAAATGTATTCCCAAACAAAGCGATTATTCCTAGTGCAAAAATTCGTAAATTTTCAAATCTTCGAATAAGATTTATATCACGTTATAAATTAGTTAGCTTTATTTACAGATTTTCTGGTGATACACACAAACTGGTGGTTTACAGATATTCATGTTCGTTTTTAATGATGATGAATAAACTGGGAATTCAAATAACTAACACCTTGAAATCTTTGCAGCAGCATACTAGTAACAAATACATGATTGAAATATCTTGCCGGGCAGCCAGTTTGAGATCACTGCCTTAAATCAGTAGTGTCTTTCTTCGCTTTTCTGTAAACGTGTAAAAAGTGAAATAAGCATTCCATTAAACAAATAATATTGACTATTCATTGATTTATTATTCGACATCTGTCTGAAAAAGATTTCTCTTGATAAGCAAAACAAAATTCTCTTTATGAATAGAGTATTAACTTCAAACCGAAAAGTAATTTCCATGTAAAAGACCTCTTTAGTTTGGCGTAAGACATAATGACGTCATAATTTCTGCATTGCCGAAGAAATTTACTTCATATGAACAAACATTGTCATAGTGTTAACTTTGACTGCTTCAAAGTAAAGTTATGAATATCTTTGAAACATTTATTATGCCTTATGTGATTTGCTTGAAAATTTTGTCTACTTACAAGTGTTTTTTTTTTTTTTTTTTTTTTTCATTTTAGAAAGAGAAATTCGTCAAACTTTTGGACCAATTACATAATTCACTGAGGATAGATTTATCCATGTATCGCGTAAGTAATAAATTGCATAATTATAAATTTCTCATAAAAATTTCATACTTTTAATGCAAATTACGATACATTGTTTTCTTATCAATTTTTTTCTTGAATTTTTCAGAATAATTTCCCTGCATCGAGTCCAGAGAAGCTTCAGGATTTAAAATCAACTGTAGATCTTTTAACTAGTATTACCTTCTTTAGGATGAAGGTATTATAAATCTATTTATCTTCAGAATTTATGATTTATATACTTGAGACCGATGACTTTATATAATTGTGTAATTATGTTTTATAAATATTAAAAATATTTTTATGATTATTTCACATGAATGTATTAAATTATATGTTATGTTTTATTTTTAAATATTTTAGATTATGTATAAATAAATTAAGTCTGAAATATTTACATGCAAAATACATCCAACTTAAGCATTTGCTATTCTTTAATTCGCGATTGAAACAAAAATTCTATTTCTAATATTCATGAGCTAATTTTCAAGTAATCAAATTAGATGAAAGTATCTCCTTTTTTTAAAATTTTTATTTTAAAATTATTTGTATAATAAGCTTTTAGCTCTGTCTTTGGATGAGAAAAATAAAGGCATATTGCTTTTTTATATTCATTACAGTTATATTAGCATTACTAGAAAATTAGGCTAATTAGTTAATTTACCTGAACTGTCAGCGGAAGTTGCATATTATTCTGCCTTTCTTATACAATATGTTATATTTACAATCTTAACGTACTTAATAAGTTTAATTTACTTAATAACGTACTTAATAATTTATAACTAAATCTGTAAATTATAATAAAATGCTGTATCGCTTTGAGAACGCCACAGAAATCGATTGCAAAATTTTAGATTAAAACTTGATAATTTTAATGTCCAAAATACTATTAAAACTTTAAAATTAATAGCTTAAGTGAAGTTTGGTAAAGGAATGAGCATTTTATGACTCAAGATTAATCGATTCATATTAAATCGGAATAGAATTAAGATTTGAACATTTCAGATGCTTTCTGCATTAAAACAGTGATCCTACTATTTAATAAAAACAAGCTCATTTTTCGGAATAAGTTTCCTTTCAAAGATTTTAGTTTTAGTTAATATGCGTAATGGTACTTCTTATCAGGTTCCAAGCACTCTTTTCAAACTGCATCAATTTAATGTTCAGACGTCAGTTAGGTATGCATGTAATCTGTTGTACGGTTTATTCATTGCCTTCAAAATTCTTCTTAGTACTTTCATTTAATGCTCGTCTGTCCACTTACTCACACATTATTTTTGGTGTAATTATTATGTGAATTTAAACGTCGCATGCTTCTATTTTTTAACATAAAATGAGTTGTCTACTTATTATTAAAAAAGGATTTTACATCGAAGCGTAATACTAACTGTTTACTAAAATCAATTATAAGAATATGCTGCCTTAATCATACCTTAAAACAGCATGCGTTAAAACATTATATGCCTTAAAACAGTTTAATTTTAAAAATGTTAGGTGTGTCAAGTATGAATATTTTTATATTACTAGCATTCCTAATTTGCAGCAGATTTTTGACGGTAATTCCATAATAAAATTTTTATTACTTAAACTTGCTTGTATTTCAACTGACGTTGCTATTAAATATCCCACTCTAATTTAATTTTCTATTTGCATTACTTTTAACTTACTGTTAACTGTAAATTTTCTTTTCCTCCTAAATTAAACTTAGAATTGCATTGCATTTTTGATATCATTTACACCTGAGGTTTGGTCTTCCGAAACATTAAGTGTAATCTAACAGGAAGAAAATATAATAAAAATAAATTTGAAAGAAAATAAATACAACTTATACTTTTTTTTTATTTGGGTTTTTTTCATCATCTAAAATTTGAGACTGCTGTTCTAGAATTTATCCCTTCATAGTTAATAACGCTTGCTAAATTTCAGCTAAATTTGAGGATAATTCGTGTTCTGCTTAGAAACCTTAAACTGAACCAATCTAACTCAAGCTAAGGTTAAAGAGAAGAACTAATTCATTCCTTTGAGTGATCCCTCGCCTACGCGATCCTTGTAGATCTTCTTTTAAACCTTAAACTCAGGTACTCAGCTAATATGAGAAAAGCATTCTTATTTGTTTGCTTTCTGTTTCAACTTAAAAGCTCTGAATTCTCCAGTTTCAATCTAAGACGCAGCTTATCTTTTCTGTCTGCCTGATTCATCCGGTCATCATCTAGAGCAAGCGTTGGCAATCTAGCAATCTAGGGTAGGCAGATCAAAATATGTATTAAGACATTTTCGGTTTTCACTTTAAAACAGATTTTTTTGGTGAATAATAAGATAAACTGTGCTAAGAAAATAATTACAATACACTTTAAACATGAAAATTATAATTACAATTCAAATTATTATGAAACCAAACTTAATGAACTTTATTTTATCAATGGCTCCCTTTATGCTGAACTTGTGGCGTCAGTTTCATCATGTCTGGCTTATAGTTAGTAGTCTTAACACGAGTACAAAGATCTTAATTTTCGGTAGTTAAGTTACTCCTGTTCTTACTTAAAATAAATTTAATGTGTGAAATTATTTTCTCGCATTTATAATTTGAACCGAAAATAGACAAAATGGCAAAGCCATGATTTTAGAATTATGGATTACGGATCAACGTTGCCAAATTTATCCATTTCTCCTTTAAATTATGTTATAAATTTTAAAAATGCATGTTCGTTACCGCAAGTTTGAAATCAAACAAAAATGCTATTGTTGTTATTTATTTTCAGTTTATTTTTTATGTATTATTCAAGTGTTCGCTTTATATTTATGTTTCATAATTTATTTTTATGTATTATACTTTATTTTCGGAGTTCAAGTGGGTCACTTAAATTATGAAATGAGCCACACGATAACCCGCTGGTCATAAGTTGCAAAGGACTGATCTAGAATGTAAATCCAACGTTCTCGTATAGTTAGAATTCATTTGTTGTGATCTCGCTTACTGTTGTTTCTTTCATTTTGATCTACAGGTACAAGAATTGTCAAGTCCACCTCGCGCCAGTACAGTAGTGAAAGATTGTGTAAGAGCTTGCCTTCGATCGACGTATCAGTTCCTATTCGAGAACTGCTACGAACTATACGGTCGAGAGTTCCAAGTGGAACCCCAAGACAAGAACAGAGAGGGTGGAAACGAAGATCATGGACCAAGTCTGCACAACCTGGATTTCTGGCACAAATTGATCGCGCTCATGGTATCTGTGATAGAAGAAGATAGAAACAGTTATACTCCAGTTCTTAACCAGTAAGTTGTCTCACTTTCTTTTGGAAGCATAAACTAAACTTGAGACTAAATCTCAAGCGACTTTTCGCTATGTCCACTAAGGAGGCAGAGAGCCATACGAAGGGTGTAAAAGACCCTTTTATTAAACTCAGATAATTTAACAGAAGGCACTTCTTGTGTTTACTAAACCAGTTAGTATTTATGCATAACTCAAAACTAATGAATTCAAATCTAAAACTAAACTAAGTCGTAAGTTATCCAAAGACTACACAGAATGAATAATGCGCAAGTTGGCTTAAACCTAGTACCGGCGTGACAAGTCTAATAGCGGGAATAACGCAGGTACTCTGATGTCTAAGATATTCATCCAGAAACGTGGCCTTCAGGCGGAACAACTCTGATTCAACAATCTAAAACCTTCTTTTAAAGACCGTCGTCTTTCTACCTCATACGCTAGAACTAAAATTTGCATTCTGGCAGGAAAACGAGAAAGACAGTAAAGCTAATTAACATAAAATAACTGGTTAGAAAAAAAAATAAATCCTTACAGTTGCAATAATCTTTCGTTTTTTGACAAAAATAAAGACTAAAGACAGAAATTGAAAATTACTTGCAAGTCCATTTTGTTGTAAAAAATGCATTAAATAATATCACTCCATAATGAAATTATTTCTTTTTATGCGTTTGCATATAAAAGCCTTTATAATGTATGTAATATTTTCTTAGACCTTTTCCTTTTCTTTTGCTTAAAGTTTAGGCACAGATAATAATTTTACTTTATTTTTATTAATATAGATTTCCTCAGGAGCTAAACTGTGGTCAGCTGAGTGCTGACACGATGTGGAGTTTATTTGCTGTAGATATGAAATATGCATTAGAAGGTGAGAATCTTGAAATGAGCGAAAATTTATTAATTCCTGTGCTTATAAATTTAGTTGAAATCCAACCTTATATTTGATGTGTTTCATGCCTAGTGTTTACTAGGATCTCTTTAATGTGATCAACTCGACGTTTTCAAAGAAAGTAGAAAATTTATGTTAACAATTGACTATTGAGAAACGACTGTGTTGTATTTGTTATCAAATTACGCAAATAATTAATGTTTTCAATTAAAATAAAAAGGAATTAATTTATTATTGAGAGATGACTTACATTTCAAAATTTAAATAATATTGGAGAACATTATCTATGAAGCGTGACCGCCCATCTTAAAAAAAAATCATTGTTTTCTTAGCCACCATTGATTATAATACTTTTATTCATTGGAAACAAAACGAATTATCCAAGTTGTGAGAGATATTTCTACCTCTGTAACGCATACCTTCGGTGATGTATTGAAAAGCGCGTCCACCAAGCACCCTGGGATCCGGAGTTAGAATCTCGGTGAGGTTATTACTCAGTTTTCATATTTCCTGTGTAGCCAATACCTGATCGCTCTACAGATGGCGCCTAAACTAAAATGTGCTGGGTAATAGTTTCTTGCCACATAGATTTTGCAGCTAGGACCCCGCCTACTCAGTTTCTCTTTCAATGAAGAGAAAATGTGCGGGGAGAGATTTTGGAAACCGGATGTGCTTACAAAATCGTGATGTATTTGGAAACACTTCGGCTAACTTCGAAGATACGGAGTTAGAATCTCTGCGAGAACGTAGCTCAGTTTTCATGTTTCCTGCTTCAATAAACCTAATGAGTCTACAAAATCTCGATGCATATCATCGTTACATAATCACGTAATGACTGAAATGGTTATAAAAATCCAGCAGCTTTATGATATTTTATGCAACTTTCACGCGGTTTTTATTTCACAATTATGATTGGTGTTTACAGCTGGAACTGCAACAAAATTGCTATTAAATAGATTTTAATAGATTGTAAGTAGATCTAGAGTTTCCAGCATTATTAGTATATTGTATTCGATAAAAACCAATCTTTTGATTTCTCATGAAGTTTAGAGAGTTTTATGACCGATTTGTTTATTAAATAATTGAATATAAGCTTAAATGATTAAAATACTGAAGCTCTACGTTTTAAAAAGAGTGAATTAATAAAGAAAATGAATTAATAAAGAAATCTTTTCGATTACTGTTATAAAAAAATAGCAAGCTATTTTGCAGAACGTTTTGCTCTTGGGAAAGAGAGCTCTGTGTCGGTTACTTTTGAAATCGATGTAGTTTCATATAAAGTTTATGTCAGTCTAAAGTTTTACCTTCCTGATATTATATAAGCTCTTTCAAACGGTAATTGTAATGCTGAACAAAGTGAGCAGTTTAAAAGCAAAAAAAATATTTTTAAATAATTTAAACTCTATTTTAATTTTTTGTAACATATCCAAGTGACTGAATTTTAAATGCATTTATTTCATAATGTAATTTCATAATGTAATTTAGTAATTTAATAATAAATTTAATAATGGATAATTATGAACATTTACAGCATTTATTGTGGATAATTGGGGATGTTTCGAATGCCTTAACTCAGTTTTTACTCGCGTGTTTCTTCCGATATAATTTAAAGTTTTTTTTTATTTCACAATTTTTATCCATCTACCATTATGATTAAATGTTTAATCTTAAGTTTTCTCTTATTTTTAATATCGCGTTTCCGTCGCTTATTAATTTTAATATTTCTTACTACCGGGCAAGCCCGCCAGCTGAGCGGGCCGAAGCCAAATTTTAATTGTTCGTTTTTAAAATAATTCCCATGTTAAAATTCGCCGGTATTCGAAAGTTGGACCGAACCACCAGTGTCCAGCGATTTTACCGCTCAGCCGCTAATGGGCGCTTTTGCGAAGTGTAATCGCGAAAATTTTCGGGTTTGATATGGCAACAGTAGACTCTTTATTTAAATTATTTTTGGTTAACTCCTGTCTATAAATTTTATACTTAACATCGCTTACAGTAAATACAAACTTTAAATGTTTTTAAAATGGTAGACAAACATTTAAAAGCGTTATTTTACAATTGTTTCATTCCCGGTGATCTTAGTCGTAACTGTAACTGCTTTCGGTGCGTTTGTTTACAGAAGACAAATTTTTTGGATTTATGATTTTATCTGATGGTGTTTTCTGAGTATATAAATATGTTGAAAACCGCAATAGATGATGTTACTTAGTTAATGTATAACTTTGCATGATATTATATGTATCTTGATCTTATGTGTCTTCTGTTACTGTGTCTCAAGGTAGAGGCTAATATTGGTTTCCATGTTAAAAAATAAAAGTAAATTCAAAAATTTTAGTTTCCCTGTTATAGCAAAAGTTAGCTTCTAAACTTGACTAATACTGTTATGTGACTGGACCTCCAATATTTACTATTAATTTTCCCTCATCTTTACATCTATTCAGCTTAACAAAACACACACCTGGAAGACTCTATTTAATGTAAATAACAACTTTGACTACAATATCGCGTTTCCGTCGCTTATTAATTTTAATATTTCTTATACATTTATCATTCTTCCCATATTTAATGTTTATGAAATATTTTGTGAGGTCTTAAAACTGCTTTGATAATGTAATTACTTTGTATTTCAGAGCACGAGCAGCACAGACTATGTAAAAGTTCAGCGTACATGAATCTACACTTTAAAGTAAAATGGTTTTATAATAATTATGTTAAAGACGTCCCTCTATACAAAGAAGCAGTACCTGAATACCCTGCGTAAGTACACTCTGCAAGTAACTTTTTGCAAGGCACGCACTAATATGTTTGCAAGTTAATAAACACTTTTCCCTTGATTTGCTTTAAAATCATTTTCTTTAAAAGTAACAGGCTGTCTTGCATTAATTATTAATAGTAGTTAGTTTCTGCAAAGTTTCAAAAACCTTTATTTCTTGTGTTTGAATTTCTACCGTTAACGGGTGATTTCTAATTCTGTATGTTATATATAGGAGTACAAGATATGTAGTTAATATTGTATGTCCTAAATATTTCGCCTTCTTAGAAAGGTTTGTGTCAGTCTTATATCCAGCCAGGAAAATCAAGTAAACAAGCCGATTAATGTATTGTTTGTTTCATTTTTCCGAGTGACATTATAATCATTTTCAAAGCGTTTCTAAATATTTAACATCATTATATTCCACTTAGATCAAATAATCATCTTGTTTGAAATTAATCAATATCTTGACTTATTTAATAACTTCGAACGAATGGTAATATATTTAGCAGAGAAAACCTTTTTTAATTAACAACGAACTTATTTATTTAGCATTCTAAACATTATAAAAAGAATCACATTCCATGCGTTATCACGCTCAAAATAATATATAACAAAACATCACTGTTGCCACAAAAAAATCTACACTATAATGAACATATTAAATTACTGTGCATTAACTGAGTTCGTGCACGTTTCTGAACATCTTCTCACCTTGCAATTTTAGGAAATTGCAACGTATTCTTTGCTCAGTTCATCAGTTTCTAATTATGACTCTTCAGAGAGAGGTAATTTATCCGGCTCCTGTTTAAGCCAATCCTGCTCCTCCCACCATCTGCTCTGTAGCAACATTTTGGCATCGCACCCTCTAGAGGGTAGATCAGCTGGATTGCTTAAGCTTGGTACATAATGCCAATCTTCCGGATTTGTGCATCTCCTTATTTCAGCTACACGATTTGCTACAAAAACGCTCCAGAGGGAGTCTTTTTTTATCTATGTCAGAACTACAGACGAGTCACTCCAAAGGTACATTTGTCACTTTGTCAATTTAAGAGCATCAATGACTTGACGATACAGCCGAGTAGCTATAAGTGCTCCAAGCCACTCTAATCTGGGAATAGTTACTTCTTTGGCAGGCGCTACTCTTGATTTACATAATACCAATTGTACTGAAGTTTTGCACTCAAAATATGCACGCAAGAAAATGCATGCTGCATAAGATACCTTACTAGCATCACTAAAACAATGTAGAGAGATAGAGCAGTCATCGAAGTTTCCAGTCACAAGTCTTCTTGAAATTTTACAATAATTCAAGAAGTGTAGTCTTTTGATCCAAGCCTGAAATTCTCTTTCTATACCTTGTGGAAGATTTTCATCGCAGGAAAGTTTCATCTTCCATGTTTTTTGCAGAATGAGTTTTGGAATTAACCGTAGTTGGACTAGTAAATCCGATGGGGTCGAATATCCTCTGTGAGACTGACAGCAGAGATCGTCTCGTGTGAGCACTCTCCAGAAAATGTCAAAGGAGTTAAATTGCAATAAGTTTCATCATTCTCGGTGTCCCACGAGAGTCCCAGAATTGGAATAATCTTCTGATAGGAAATCATGCTTCTCCCTTCTTTGAATGGGCAGCAGTCCACCCTCTAAGGTAAAAACCTCCTGAAAACATTAGAGTTTGGGATTCCTCTTTGAACTTGACTACTTCCTTCTTTCGGTTTCGAAACTAGCTATACAATGGTCGACATAAAAAGGATTTCTTCAATCTAAGTGCCGTTCCTCTTAAATCTTGTGAAGCATTATCCAAATGGTAAGAAATCGTTGCTCCCAACAGGAATGGACTCGAAGAAATGCCGAACACAACACGACAGTGTCTGTAGGTAACAATCTCGGTTTTGTTTGAATCTTTCCACCACAGGAATTTCAAAAAGTCTCTGTCTCTGGCACACAAACTGATTTGTAAGAAAGTTTTCCTTATATCGGCAGTAACACCAATGGCATGTTGCCGGAATTGTATAAAACGTTTTGGAAGCATTTCTATTAAATTCGGCCCCTTTTCGAGACAAGCATTCAAGGAATTCCCATTTTCATCCATCAATGATGCATCGAATACAGGTCGCACTTTCGTAGTCATACTGGAATCTTTGATTACTGCTTTATGAGATAAATAGTGACCAGAATCACTATTATTCTGAGCCATTTCAATTATACCTTCATCGTGCCAGCCTTTAATAATACCATCATATTCTTCGAAAAAAACCTATCTTCTGCAGTCTTCGTGTATTGGCGAAAAGTCTTTTTTCCGCTTTATCTTTATCATCTTCAAGAATCCGATGACTACCCTTCCAAGGCAAACAGACTTCATACCTATTGCCCTCGATTATTTTAATGTTCTCTATAAAAATTTTGATCATTTCAGTGTCTAAATTCACTTCAGCCGGATCTTTTATGCCAATTGTCTCTAAATTCCATAGTTCTGTGAGATCCAAATAACAAAGTCCGACGGTATCAAGCAAGGTATTATGACTTTGCACTGGGCATGGTAGGGTCCAACCCAATTTTGTTTCAATGGGAATAAGGTTTTTGTCAATTGGAATGATATTATTCGTCATCAACAGTCCGGAATAGTCGGCTCCTATTAACAATCCGATATCTGATGTATCTCTACCAGAATCACTGATTTTGATTTTATGTTCTCGAAGTGAGCACCATATATGTTTGAGTTTCACTCTAGGAATGTATCCATAAATTTTGTCTTTATCTAAAACCAATAATTCGTATTTGAATTTATTTTCCATTCCTTGTATTTCGATATCAAAAATACCATGGACCTGAGAGTCAGTTTCAACTCCTCCAAACAAATTGTGGCTCAAAGTCTCTTGTTCTATTAAACTTAATATGTTTCACAAACTATAATCAATCAACAAATGGACTGTATTCCTACACTTTTATTAAATTACACTTGTCAGCGATGCAAAATAATTGATACAAAATAAGCGAGCCATTCTACATGGCTGTCACAAACACAATTCTCTCAATCAATAATCTTGTTGCCACACATAAAGTTCAAAACTAAAAGAAGAAAAACAAAAGGAATTTACGCTGTTTGCAACAATAAAATGAAGCAAACGATACTCACATAAAACATCCTGGCCCTCGTTGAAATCCCAGGGGATTTCAACAGTTGGAGCATTTTGAAACTTCTTAGTCTGTAATAAAATAAACATAAGAAAAAATAATACAAAATATTATATGCGAAACAGTTCATAGTTTTTAGTCTGAATAGGAAGAGGACACAATTTCACGACTGGTCGTTTAATGACACCATGACCAGTTTTAATACTAGCAACTCTGACTCTTTGATCTGAGCCCGGATGAACAGTAATTATTCTCCCTAACCTCCATTTAAGAGGCGGAAGGTTGTCTTCTTTGATGAGGACTAAGTCATTGACTTCTAAATTGTTTTGACTTTTTTGCCATTTAGGTCTTTGTTGAAGCTGAGACAGGTATTCTCGACTCCATCTTTTCCAGAAGTGCTGAAAAATAAACTGTCTCACATGCCATCTGTCAATGTGATTGAAGGAACTATAATTTAGGTCTGGTTCAGGTATAGCAGTTAAAGACGTTCCTATTAGGAAATGACCAGGTGTTAATGCAGTTAAATCATTTGGATCAGCCGAAGTTGGACACAATGGCCTAGATTTGAGACAAGCCTCAACCTGCGTTATCAAGGTCTGAAATTCCGGATAGGTCAGCACAGTATCACCAACAGTCCTTTTTAGATGTAATTTCATTGACTTTACTGCCGATTCCCATAGTCCACCAAAATGGGGAGATGATGGCGGGTTGAATATCCATTTTATTTCCTCTAAAGACAAAAATTTGTGAATTTCTTGATTTTGCTTACATTGCAAAAAACATTTTCGGATTTCTTTGTCTGCACCTTTAAAAGTTAGTACCGCAGTCACTATAAATCTCAAATGGTTTCCCTCTTCTTGCAATAAATCGTTTCAATGCACTTAAAAAAATGCCTTTGTTGACAAATCTTCTACCACTTCAAGATGTACTGCCTTGATTACAAAAAACACATAAATAAGCATACGTAATATTTAAATGATTTTTGTCCACGTCCTTCACGATGTTTAATTATGAACGGTCCAGAAAAATCTATTCCAGTTCGATGAAATGGTCCCGATTGTGTTACTCTAGTAGATTCCCGGTAGATCAGCCATTATTTGACTTGCAGTTTTAGCTCTAAGTTTGCAACACGTGATACAAGATTTTACTACTTTTCGGATAGCAGATCTAGCAGCTATGATCCAAAATTGCTGTCTAATTAAAGATAGAAGAAGTTCCGGTGCTGCATGCAGATATTTGACATGAAAGTGTCTAATTATGATTTCTGTCAGATTGTGTTTTGAAGGTAATAAGATTGGATGTTTTTCATTTTCTGATAGTTGCGCATTTTTCAGTCTTCCTCCTACACGTAACACTTTGTTGTCATCTAAAATTGAACACAAGCTAAGGAGGTTGCTGTTTGTAGGTAAGTCCTTTCCCAACTCCAAACATTGAATTTCTTTAAAAAAGTGAAATCGCTGTATTATTCGGACAATACAGAAAGTTGCAGCTCGAATTTCATTACTAGATAAAAAAGACGTATTTCTTTCTAGATATGCTACTTTAGAATTCGATATGAATCTTAATATCCAAGCAAATATGCGTTGTAACTTTGGAAATGAAGATATATTTGATATAATAGCAAGTTCCTGTACAGGTTCAGAAACTACAAATGAGACTGTTTTACGTGCATCTGGTAATGCCTCTTCATCTATAAGAATATTTTTAGATAAGGCAATCTCACTGCACTTTAACCAAGAAGGACCATTCCACCACAATTGATGAGATAATAGTTCTGCAGGAAATAATCCACGTGAAGCACAATCAGCTGGATTTTCCTTTCCATCAACATGACTCCAGTTCTCAGGTGGTAAGATGGATTGTATTTCAGAAACTCTATTGGATACGAATACTTGCCATTTTTTAGGATCTGACCTTAGCCATGACAACACGATTTGTGAATCACTGCAAGCTTGCACTAAATCAAAATTTATAACTAATGCAGCTTTTACAGACTGAATCAAGCGTGCCAATAACACGGCTGCACATAATTCCAGTTCTTGGAATCGTAATAAATTTTAATGGTGCTACACGAGTTGTTTTAGCTGTTACGAGTTTAACATTAATGTCAGAGTTATTGCAAGTTTTGATATAAATAACTGCTGCATAACCTCTTTCAGACGCATCACAAAATCCGGGAAGTTCACATCGAAAATAATCAGGTAGCAGAATTTTCCTAGGTATATTTATAGAATTCAAAAGTTTAACTTCTCTACATAGATTTCTCCAATTTCGATCAATCTCTTCTGTTACAGGATCATCCCATGATAACTGTAATTTCCACAATTGCTGAAGGATCATTTTAGCGAGAATTACAAACGGAGCTATCCACCCCAATGGATCGAATAGTTTTGCTACGAATAACAAAATAATCCTTTTAGTCGGAACACTTTGATACTCTATTACACCGACATTACATTTGAATTCATCATTGTCCGGATGCCATTCCAATCCCAGAACTTCAATGGTTTTGTCTTCTATTACACGATGAATATTGTCACTATCTGTGTTTGTTAAGCCAGAGGTTTTTAACAATGACGGTTCACTTGTCGACCATTTGTGAAGCTCAAAGCCACCCCTTTTTAGCAGATGTTGCAATTCGTCTATCAATGCAATACCTTCCGAAACTATCTTTTACACCAGTTAACATATCATCAACATAAAAATCTCTTAAAACTATATTCTTTGCCTTTGGAAAGTTCAATCCTTCATCAATCGCTAACTGACTCAAAACTTTGGTTGCAAGATATGGAGCAGCTGCAGTTCCATATGTAACTGTTTTCAAACGACAAACTTGTATTTGCTTATATGGGCTATCTCTCCATAATATTCTCTGAAAATCTCTATCTTTTTCATGAACCTTTATCTGTCTGTACATCATTTTAATATCAGCGGTTATTGCAATGTTATGAAGTCTAAATCTTAGTAAAATACAAATTAAGTCATCTTGGGCCTATCATTAGTGTATCATTTAAAGAAACACCTGTGGTTGTTTTAGCGCTCGCATCGAAAACAACTCTCAATTTTGTTGTTAAGCTAGAGTCCTGAACGTTCCTGAACACATCTTACGATGTACCGTAATTCTATAATGACAATATTGTGTTTATTGAATCTTTAAATTTTTATTGAATTCTTCATATTATTCAAACTACTTACCACATAAATTTCCTTTTTATCGCAGAATATTATTTTTTTTTATTTTATGTATTTAATTGTTAATTCTTACAATATTTGAAATATTTTTCTAATGTTGTATCAAAAATATTTCTGTTATTTATTAAATTATAGTTTCTGAAAGTGAGAAGAAAAATTTCTCATTTTAAATCAGAACTAGAAATTTAAGGAAGAAAAAACTTGAGAGAAACGGCAAGGGAAATGGATCGAAAGCCTGCCTCTTTTCAGATATTAAACATGAAAGTGAATGAAGAGATTGCTTTTTTTTACCAAAAACAAGGCTACTAGTCCAAAACGGAATTTTCATTCAAGTTCTTATAAGCTATTTTTTCCCTACTTCCAGCATGCTTTCGAGCTGTAACGGTAGCACACTCGGTACGTATTCGAGAGATTCAGACTCGAATCCCGGCGTGGGCATTGCTCATTTTTCATGTACTTCTTCTTTCAAATAGACTAATGACTCTACAAGTTATTTAAAAGCAATAGATGCAGTTCTTAAGAATGTTATTTTTTTACTTTTGAATCTAATTCAGTTAAATAAAAGTGCATTTAATTCACGATACATTTAAAAGCATTAAATATTTTTGTAGAATTATGTTATACATTTTTTTTCACTTTTCAAATATACAGAAGATTTTCCCATGTTAGTCTAGATATACACTGCGGGGGAAATCACAGTTCTGTATCTCCCGTTCTAGTAGGCCGATTGATGAAATTCAAATTGCATTTTTCACGTCTCGAAAGCGCGACTTAGGATATAAATTAGATTTATATACATGTTCTAATATGGGTATTTTGACACAAAATCGGACTTTTTCTGAAATGACATATTTATTTTCCATATTTCGATTCTACGACTCAAATTATGCCTAAATATTAAATTTAGTAAAATTTGGTACGAAATTTACGGAGAAATTCAAAAATTTATCTTGGAGAAATTTTTCACTTTGAGCCAAGAATAATTCACTTGGTGAGCTTTTTAATTTATAGCAACCTATTTTCCTCTCTCTTTTTTTCATTGTACACGAGCGAGAAAAAAGTCAGATTTCATACGTTCAAATAATTTTAACAAAGTGCGTAAACCGCATTTAAAGTTATCGCTTATAGCATATGTGCTAAATTTGAAAACGCGCCAATATGTAAATTAATGTATATTTTAGAAAATTTTGAATAAAAAACTCTAATTTTATTCAGGTGTGCCTAGAAATACATCTACTTTAAGATGATGTTAAAAAATTTTATAGGTTATAATACAAATTGTTTTTGAAAAATTCATAAAAAATATTTTAAGGTATAAATTTTAAAAATAAATCATAAAAAATGAGCGAATTATATTTGCATTAAGCCCAAATTTTGAATTCTGTGAGAAGGACCAAGTAAGTTAAATAAAAAAGAGATATTAATAAATATATATCAAATTCGATTAACATTGAGGAGCTAAATTTTTAGAGCTGATTTTTTAAAAACTACTCGTGCGATTTTTACAAAACATGGCAGTTTGGCATAATTGGAGTCTTATAATCGAAATATGAAAAAACATTGTCATGTCGTTTCAGAAACTGTTCGATTTTTGTGTCAAAATACCAATGCTATATATAAATCTAATACATATTCTAGGTCGCGCTTTTGAGACATGAAAAACGCAAGTTGAATTTCGTCAGTCGGGCCCGTAGAACGAGATATAGAACTATGCCTTTTTTTTTCTTTTTTTTCGGCTGTGAACATTTATCTAGTATCTTATAAAGTATTCCACTACTAGAAATGGTGCGGGTGGAGACCCGCGCCATTTCTATTGATAATCTGGGATGATAAACCATATATTAAACATTTAAAAGAGATCTTTTAGAAAAAATTAAAATCGGAATTCTTTCAGATTTTTTTTTATTCAGGTTTTAAATATCAGTTTTTTTGCAGATGGTTTGAGCCATTTGTGATGCAGTGGCTCAATGAAAATGATGATGTCTCTCTAGAATACCTCAACAGTGCCTTTTTGAGGGATAAGAAGGACGGGGTAAGTGAAGAAAGCTGTTTATCTCTAATTCCGTTTAGATTGAATATAGTTGCCTTAATGAAAGACTACATAATCCAATGCAAATTCTGCAGTAAAAACACTATAAACAAAATTTTGAAATGCTGTTATTAAATATTATAATAAATTATGTTAATTATTATATTGAATATGATATAAAAATGAATGCGCAGCTGCATCTGGAATATTGTTTTCATTTATTAAATTAGTGCTGAAGTCATTTCATCGTAGTCATTTTCATATTTCATCCTGATTTTACGATAAAATAATATCATGGTATTATTTTTCTGCGATTTGATTTTGACACAATTTGTTTTAAATTTAAGATTTTATGTTATTTTCCTTCAATATATGGGGGGGGGTGTATTTCTTAAATTAGTAGATCTATTGCACATGCTTGGCTTAAAATTGTTTCAAATATTAAACTAAAAAATGCATACGAAGAACAAATTGTATCTCTTTTTGTATTTTTTTATTTTTAAATATTTTTGGTACTACGTATTATTACAACCGCCTTAAAAAAGTAGCCAAGTGCTTTCAGAATGAGCCAAAATATGGCAACCATGCATAAACATACTCCCGACAACCATGCTTATAACAATCCTTCACTGAAACAATGTCGCCGCTTTTGTATACATTCTTTTCCTCAATTTCAAATTCCAACGATTTTTATACACAAATCTGATACGTTTTTAGCTTCAACTCTACTTTAACACATTGCTTGGGGAGTTTTCTGACATTGGAAGGAAATGCAGTAAAAGTTCTGTTCGAATACTGCATAATCACTAAAGGGAACAATGATGAGATACGTTCGATAGAGAGCCAAGCGCAATGCCGAGATTGTGCAGTTCTTTATTTTTTAAGAGAAAATAGATTGCTGTCGCATGGAGAGAAGAAAAGCACTGAAATATTGTAGAAGGATTTTGCGAAAATGTGTTTTTTATGGATTATATTAACCTTATTTAATAATTAAAATTTGTATTTTAGAACTTTTAATATATATATATGTGTGTGTGTGCATAAATATATACGGTAAATACCGATATTTGGAAATGTTTTACCAGAAAAAATCGCAAAAAAACGCCAACTTCCACCCGATAAATAGCTTCATAGGTATGCCGATTATAATTAACCGACTCTCTATGTTATCAGAAAACATGGTATGAAAATTTACATGAACAATAAATTCTAGTGTGATTGATAATAATGAATTTCAACTTCGCTGCGAGTCGCAGAAAAGGAGCTTACGATTCGCATGCAGCTGTTAGGTTCCGAACTGAACATTACAAATCGTTCTTCCATAAAACATTACAAAATCTTGCTTTCAGTTAAACACGCAGAATGTTTACCGCAGGACTCATATTTTGAACCCGTACTTCGTTTATAATGTTCTCCCGGGATTTCTCTGGAAATCGGTAATAAACATGTTTCTCGAAATCATTATCTTTATCCTAAAATGCACGCTATCTTAATTAAAAGGATTCAGAGATTGTCATGTCTCAAAATGCAATTGTCAACACCAAAGATTTAAGTTTATGAATATTTTTTTTACTTATTATAATATTTAAATTGCATGTCTGTAGCTATAAAATGTTAAAGTTGTTTATTCCTAATTGTTATGATATTTGAATTATAAATTCTGGTCATTCTTTTCCTAATTATTACGATATTTAAACTGCATATCATCGGTATAATGATTAGAATTTGTGGCTGCCGTAACATTGGGCACAGGTTCGAATTCCGGAAAAGGAATATGTGTAGAATTCCGAAAAATGAATATATGTAAATATATGTCCAAGCGGCGTAGGGCCTTAAAATACTTGGCGATCCGAAAGTTTTCTCGAGTGGCTTGATGATAAGGGAAGAGAGGTGGAAAACCTTGGACACGTCTACTAAGAGGATTTCTCCATCAAAATTGGGACGAAATAGTTAAAGTCGTGTTTTCACTTATACGGTGTTCAAGGCCCATACCAAAGACGCAATTCTACGCTCCTCTCCATGATAAAATTCGTGAACTTTAATCTAATGTTACTGCCAGACAAGTGAGATAAATCGAATAATATATTGGAAATCTATTAAAAATACCAAATACCAAGCAGTTAAATTAAACCAAGCAATTTTAATTATAAATTGTTTTAGTGATCAAAGATACAAGAAGGTATTATAACTATTTATTGTTCCAAAATATCTTTCTTCCCTGTTATATTATTACGATATTTGAATTATAAACCTTTTTATTCGTTTCCTAACCATTAGGACAGTTGAATTAAAAATCCTCAATGAGAGAAGTGTTAGAATTATTTATCTGTTCAAACTATCTTCCAAACTAATCTGCGAACAACTGTGGTTGGATGATTTCCCAAGCGTGCTTAATTATATCATAATATCTACTTTTGACAATGAAACAAACAATACGTAATAACAAAGCAGTTGATTAATGGATTTTTACTGTCGTCGAGGAAGAAGCGCTGGTTTATCTTTCAACTACCCACGCTGAGTAATCTGAGTTCTGATTATCTTTAGACATATTCTAGCTGTTGTTTATTGCAAAGATGTGAAGAAATTTTGACAACTCTAATGTAATTTTCTACGTTATATTTATGAAAAGTGGGATCTAGACATTTAGAATTATTATTCAAGCTGTAGTCTAATATAAACTATTCATAATTTTTAATACTGTAATTATTTTGATCGATTAGAGAGAGATTCTGAGGAGTTTTCTAATATTTTTGGTCACTCGCACTCTTGTTGTGATCATTATAATTGACGTAATCCATGATAGACATATATTTGCATGCCATTTTGCGGACGTAGCATGTTCGCAAAATAAACATAAACTTCACAGTTCCATAAGAATGTAATATGACTTCGCACGATATTTACCTTTATGGCGATGAAATACCTCTGTTGAACCATGAAAAGAAATTTATTATATAAAAACTGGAAATGATTAATTTTGTAGGTACTAGTGAAAATATTTTGATTAAACTTTCTGTAACAAGATTCTGCTTAGCCACAATTAATTCGTAATTACCGTTATATGATACTTAATACAGCCAGCTTTAAACAGAGAGATATTTATGATGCATTTAATAAAAGTGTCTTTCTCCTTTGCAGTTTCTCCAAAGCTCAGAACATTCTCTGTTCTCTAATTCTGTAGTAGACGTATTCACTCAATTGACACAGTGCTTCGATGTTATTAGTAAACTAGAATGTCCAGATCCAGAACTTGTCAAAAGATACATGAAACGATTTGCAAAGGTAAGTTCTGAAGTATTAGTTAAGTAGTTATAACTAATTAACAGAAAATGGAAGTATTTTCGCTAATGGATCAGAGTCTATTTGTTTCATTTCTGGCTTGTTTCTTTTTTGACTGATAACTTCCCCATTATTTTGAGTACTTTTTCCTGTATTTTTAATTTTGGGGAACATTCTGATAACCTGATAATAGATATTCTTAATTATCTTGCCATTTTTTAAGAATCATCTTGGGCCTAGAGATCTACAGAATATAATGGCGAAGAGCAATAAGAATAAGACATACGATTGCGCATTTTTACTTTTCCGGCTAGATTTTGTTTTTATGCTGTCTTTCCTAACCAGTCTTCTTTGTTATACATCAATTAAAAAAGATAAGTTATGTAAATGTCAAAGGAGAAAACTCGTAGAACAAGCGCTAGTTAAGACTGATTAACTGACTTGAGGTGAATTTTAGTGCAATAAGTATTTTGTCTATTGATTATCTCACATTTGCTGATCGCCGCATGATCTAATTACTCGAAATGAAAGGACTGACTGGGTAGGGATTTCCTCGGGAGAAATTTAAAAAAAAATTGATGATTTAAATTTTTTTGTGGTTATATTTAACTGGCATTTATGGCCGAACGTTTAAATTAAGTTAGAGTTATCTTGAAGTTTCTATAGACTTTTGTGCTTGCCTTGTTATTGCAAAGATATTTCAATTTGTTGCAATGTATCCTGTTTGCCTGTTTAATTATTGAAAGGCAGAATGTGCATTGCTTCTGTTTGTCTTTGTCTTCAACCCAAACTTTAAATAAATTAAATTGAAACTTGTTTTAACTATGTAATTGTATAAGACCGTAAAGGATGCCAAAAACAGATGGAATGATCCATTAGAAGCAGTTGAATCAGACTGATAAATCTTCGGGAGAAGCTCAGAATTTCCTTCTCACCTTTTGAATTTTGGAAAAGCATTTTACTACTTTTGGTGTACGTACGTTTCCATTTACGAACAAAAGTTTTAAAGCATTTAGTCTTGCTTTGTTCTTATAAATATATACTGTAACTTGGAAAAGCAAAGATGTCTCTTAGGTCTAATGTTTAGTACAATTCTTGTAAGACGATTGGGGCTCGAAATTCCAATATAGTGAGTAGATATGTTAATTATATCAATACACATCCTGTCAGAAGGTCAGTTCCAGCACGTGTTGCAATGCATATTTATTCCGTAGGAGACAAGTTTCTGAAAGTTCTAAAAAATGTTTAGCACTTTGTCAAAAACCTCTGTATACGAATTAGTTTGTAGAAGTATATTTTTAAAAACGAGAAATGCGTCTTTTGCTAATCATAAATCTAGGATTTAAAAAATATCCTCAAATTCATGCAGAATGTGAAATATTATTTTCAGGAACGACTCCACCTATAATGTACTAGAATCTGTTACTTTAAATAGGCACTTCAATACCATTGCTAGATCTTCCCATCTGCAGTCGTAACCCGTATCATAGCATAGAACTTATTTTCTCCACCTCATTTGGAATTACAGTTCAATTGAACCTTCATTATCACGCTTTTCGTGATATGAAACACGTTTAAACGGAAATGGAGTGGAGGGAAAAAATTAGGCGACTCAAATCGTCTGCTGCAGCTATCACATCCATTGTTCCAAGACAAGTAAAGTAATAAAAAATAACCTTGAAGTACTTATTTTGAAGTAACAGAGTATAACCTACAACCGCCCATAATCTTTGCATTTTATTTAAATCTTTGCCATATTTGTTATTATTTTCTGTTATTTTTTGTTTTTAAAAAGGATCTTCAATGTAATTCTATGCTCTCTAAAGAAGCATAGTCCTGTTTTGAGTAACCTCTTCTGCGGACGCTCTAACATTTGAATTATTTCCTTTTTAGACGATTGTTAAGGTGCTAACAGCTTATGCTGATATAGTAAAGAAAGAATTTCCAAACTTCATCAGCCAGGAGAAAACCGTAAGTATTTGTGTTAATTAATTTTGAAATTATTATTCGTGATTATATTTGTGACTTTTGACTGTTGAGTGAAGTTTTATTTTAATACATTAATTTTTTACTAATACACTTAAATTAAAGAATTTCCTTGAATTGTTCCTCTAAACTGCAAAACGGGCTTCCTAAATAGATTTTAACAAAAGTTATTCTTATTATGTTTCTTTAGAGATTTTAAATCAAATAATCTAGGGCAATCTATATCATATTTCAAATTTACGCTCACATCTTACATCAAAACATAAATTAAATTTATAAACACATATAATGATCTAATGAAATGTAATTCGAAGAATAGAAACGGTAATTTGAAAGCTCTAAACTGTATATTCGTATCCTGCGTTTTATCTTTTTCATATTAATGTTGTACGTATCTCTTTTGCATAAAATATCGTATTATTTAGGAAATTAATGTCAAAATGGTTACATTTGGAAGAGGTCTATTCTGGTGTGTGGCTGTTTTATTTCGATTTGCATATAGCCTGTAACCATATGCTTGTATTCACTGAAACAAAATAAAATTTGTAATGTTTGTATGAGTAAATCTGAGGAGCCCAAGGTGAGCAGAAAATACATGAAATTGTACATGAATGGAAAGAGAAGTAACACGTGAAAATCATGCTTGACAATGACAAATGCATTTTAGTAATGTTTGTTAGTTTCTTAAAATGTTTGTAATTCAGAGTGGTTTCAGAAGATTTGAAATTGGTGCTGTGTTATTGTAATTAGTCATAAAATATTTCTGAAAGTCTTTATCGACATCACATACCATAGCCTCTGCCAAAGCATTCTTTGCCACAGCATCCCATGCCGAAGCTGTTTTCGCAGATCTTCTGGAAGAATCTTGTCTGTATAATGGTACTATCTGACAATGTTTTGTACAATCCTTATTATGATTTTGCCAATACTCTTTCACCAATTCAATAAGAAAATATACGTGCCTTAGTTACCTTAGATTACTTAACATGTTAGAACAACTCCTTCGTAGCTTTCACCGTTGTTCTTCTAGTAAAACGTAACTCTTTCGTGTCTTATTTTATGATTAAATTTAATATACGGATGGGACATAAAATAGTAATAAAAATATCCTTCCACTGCAGATAACATCTATTCACTCTGTTTCATAATACATAAATCATTTAATCGTGCATTCATGTTTAGGCTGATGAGTATACTTTTGCATGTTTGGGAGAATCTTCCTGAGTCGTGATCATATAATTTGATAAAGGCCGTACCATAAAGATGCTTTAGAAGATGCAACATTGTTTTATGAAGGTGCTGTCAAAGCAGTTTCGAAGTGGAAATGTAACCAACAAAGTATTTCAGAAATGTATTGAACAGTTGCAAAAAATGTTTCACAGAAATGCATAGCTGTTGCAGGATAATATTTGAGAAACTGTTGTATTTTTGATACTTTTCTTTCTCAAATTCAGCTATACATATTATTTAATTTAACCTTAAAATAATTAATTAAAAAATACAAAAACACGAGAAGGTATCAAACATTTTAGAGACTAGCCCTGTTGAAAGAAAACTACTTTATTAATCCACATGTAAATACTGTCACCTTCACAAGTTCACACACAACAGTTCCCTAACGCAACAATACAGCATTCTCAGCCTTCTTTCCACTTCTGATATGTATTTTGGAAGTCCACTTCTCGAAACGTGGCAAGCACCTATGAGATGCATAAATTGCTTGTATTATGTTCAGCATCTCGGTGGCAGATTCGCTTAGTTTTACACGAAATTTCACTCTCTCTCTCTTTTTTCAAGCTTACTGTTTTCGTTGGAATCGCAAAAGTGGTAATGCATTTGTTCACAATTGCCCAAACTTCACAGCTACCTGTGAAGATGAAGTATAATTTTCGAAATCAAAAGAATTTGCTGCTGAAATAGTGGTGCAGTTACATAAAAAAAGTGTTGGAGCCTTTTTAATTAGGGCTGCGTTTGGCCCCAGCATAATTTAAGTTCTGAACTCTATACTTATTTAGCTATACAGTAAGACAATCAAAATAACTATCGTATGGCACTTTTTATCACTTTTTTTAACATATGGGTTTCTGAATTTAGAAATTTTACCTCAGATTTTCTCGGTCAGTTCTACTTATGTTAAAAAGTTTTCAGATTGTGTAAACAGCAAATCCAGCTGATGGAACAGAAAAGGAAATTTCTTTTTAATAGGAAATTTTTTACTTAGACCATTTTCCCTTCATAGCTTTGATTCTGCAACTCCTTTCCGTCTTCTGATCTTTCTTTTAGCCATTAGTTTCGATCTTAACTTTTTTCTCTGTACCATTTTACAAATAAAGGGATGTTGCCACTATATGTTATCGCCATGTTTATAAAAAATAATAAAGCGAATATAAAAAAAGTGCGGCAACATTTAACATTTTATCAGAAATTCTTAAGATACGCTGTTTGTAAATGTTTTGCAATTTTGTTGCTGAATTTTATGCGCGTATGTACGAAGAATGTAAGTTTAATAAATATAAAGCTAAAAAGACAAAGAGTTTTGTAAGTCATCTTACTGAAGGTACTGTAATTTTACGCGGCGTTAAGTCCGAAGAAAGCCATGTTTAATATTAATGTTAAAAATGACTTAAAAAAAAGGTTGTGTTAGCAGGAAAGAGTTCAAGAGGAAATTAATAAACTGCAAGCTCAGAGGAAACGATAAAATCCTCTACAAACTTCCTGGTGCCACGTTAAAATCTGAATCAGTTTACATTTCTTTTTTCCTCGCGTGTCTTTTATAATTTTTTGTGTCGTGCAAGGAAATGAGACATCCTTTCAAGAAACTAGTTAGTGCAGACAGCTGCCACACCAGTGTCCTTGGACTGAATCCTGGGCAAAATTTGAAAGCTTATGATCATCATGTCTTCTTCGAGAATAGCATTTAATATCTACGCCTTTCAAAAATTCTGTTGTGTGTTTGAGAGTTAGTTGATAGTTGATAGCAAGCCAAGGCGCCAGAGCTTTACTGTTGCGTCAGCAGATTGAGAGCTATTACGTTGTTAGTGGAAAGAGACAAAGAAGGAATATTTGATGGCGTAAAATGAAATTAGGGTCAATATTTATATAAATTGCTCTCAGGTTGTGTCGCCTGTTGAAACTCATCGGCAGTCATGACATTGATTTATTAAAAACTTAAATGCAAATTATTAGTACACCAGTAAGATTCAAATTGTCTTCTCAAATCAACAGAATCTGACGGGAGCACGTAATTTTATGCTTCATTTTCTGTTATTTAGAAGATGTCACTGAAAGATCATTATACTGATTTATATACCATTTCATTTTCAGGCTTGTATATTGATGAACAATATTCAACAACTGCGGGTTCAGTTGGAAAAAATGTTCGAATCTATGGGCGGTGAGAAGGTATGTACTTTTTTAAATGCATCGTTATGTATATCTTCTTTATTTACTTACTACACATTAAAACTTTAAGATTAAAACAAGTATTGAAAGACTAAAATACATTTCAGCTTGATGAAGAAGCTGCGAGTATCCTCAACGAATTACAACAGCAGCTGAACACTGTACTGGATGACCTAAGCGTTGTCTTTGCAAAGAGGTAATAAATTAGCAAAAGAAACTTGCGTGTTTCTTCTTAATACCAACATATACTATGTATTAAAATGTGTGTATCTATATAATATGAAATTTTAGATTTACTTTTCTGATGTCCTTTGCTTTAGATAAATGTTTCCACGTAATGTCTACTAAAACCTATAGCTCATAGAAATGTAATTTCTGGTTTCATGACAGTTTTTATAGTTTCGATAATACCTACGCTATACATGTTTCGATAAAACATGTGGAAACATAAAAATAATTTAATTGTTATTAATTAATTTTATTTAAGTATTTTTCTCTTAGATGTGTGTATTTCAAATCTGCGCTTAGTTGCAGGTGAAATGCCCTTCAATTACATTTCATTTGACTTTCCATTTTTTTATAAATTTTAAGACAAGAATTACTTTAAAATTTTAATACGAATTTTCACGTAAATTTTATGCATTAAAGTTTTAGTTTAAAAATGAGATCTAATCTTTAAATTAAAGTCTTCTTTAATTTGTCTCGATAGACTTAAACTGTTTAGGCTCAGCTTCTACCTAAACCTAAATTTAAACAAGCGTCAAAAGTAGCGCAGATTATAAGCAAGAGTATCTAAAATATTATTGGGGTATTATTTTGACTTACAGTTAGAGAATAAATTAAAATAATAAACAGAAAATTTGTTTGTACTAAAACTTTTAATACAAACAAATATTCATTGCGCCTACCAATGACAAATCTCAAATCTAACTAAAATCACAGTAGAAATGGAATTCTAAAATTAACTGAAAATTTTATATTTAAGGAGTTGCATTAAAATGCATTTTTACCGATGCAAAGTTGCCTCCTACTTAAGGCTCACAGTGCTGGTACAAAACTCGTAACGTATTAACTATCGCGTAACCCGATGTCTTCTTCACAGAACTATCAGTAAAATATATTGTCTTCTAATCTGCGTATTTTGGAGTGACTGGATTTAGAAATGCCACAGAAACATTTCATCCATATAAAAATTAATCCGTTAGTAAAATGTTAAAAAACTTTACATAGATTTTTTGAATAGTTTTAATAATCACTGCAATCCCCACTTTCTAAAGTTTGACTTTTATCTAGTTTCTTTGTTTCTCAACAACGTATCATTCTTTACTTAGTTTGGAAGGAACAATAAGGGAAAGTATGCAAGAACTGAGTGCATTATTATCTGCCGTGAAAGGAACAGGCCAAGTTTCCATGAATCAAGTTTCTCAACGGAATGAAGTCATGGCTGAAGCTGATCATGTACTACATCCACTCATGGATATACTCGATGGAAAGCTTTCCATGTTCTATCAAGTTTGCGAACGCACAGTACTTAAACGTTTGTTAAAGGTATGTATAGCAAACTGTTTAACACAACATTTCAAAAGTTATCTTTTGATGTAAAAAAATTGAAAGATAGTGCATTAATATTAGGATTATGCATAAATTTGTTTTCATTGTGAATAGCCCTCATTCCTAGTCTAACTATATTTATTATTTCGTGGACTTTTTTTTTTTTTTTTTTAGTCTGCTATGCATCTATAGCTCGTGTAAAACAACCTTCTTCTTCTGATATTCATATGAAGACTTTAACAATCAAAAACACGAACTATTTCTCAAGTTTATTTCATGTACTTTATAATATCAAATGGTATTTTAGTTATTGTTATGCTTCGTAGTTTTGCTTTCTTCTGTTAGTACATGTATCTTCGCGAGGATCATTAGCCCAAAAGTGGCTATTACTCTTGAAATAGAAATCTGCATCTAATAATTATAAATGCGCCATTTCATTTTTCATCTGTTGTCAAAATATAAGACATTTATCTTTCAAACTCAATCTCTGTCTATTGTATATTAATAAACTAAGTTATTTGAAAGCAATAAATGTAGTTCTTAAGAATATTCCTTTCTTACTTTTGAATCAGATTGATTTAAATAATAAAAGAGTGCTGAGTCCATGATATATCTAAATAAAAATTTTTAATATTTTTATAGAATGACGTTATACATTTTTTAGGCCAAAACGGATATTAGTCTCGAAACGGCATTTTGCGTTGAATCACAATGAACGGAATATTACTTTTCAAATTGTTGCCGCCAATTATTATCGCTCTGAAGTATATTTAAAAAAATTAAATAATGAAGGATCTGCATGCATGATTGTATGCATGTTTTTCCCACTGAAAAAATAACGGTAGCTAGAGCCATCAAATTTTGAATAACGTAGTTCTCCAGCAGCACATGGCCTCCTGGAAGCCCGAATTTTGTATTTCAAATTTGTTTTTACTATCTATTTCATATTTGGAAAACTTTAAGGGATTTTTGGTTAATAAACTCAACGATTTCAAAGCACGCAGTGGCAACACTGTACAGAATAAAAGCACTTTTATCTCCAGCGCGCGAGACTGCCTATCGGAAATTCCAAGGAAGTTGGAATAGATGGAGTAAACATGATTTCATAAAAATGAAGACAAACGTCACGACTTCTCGTGGCCGCCATAATTCCGTAAGTATAAGGCTTCGAAACATATTGTTACATAAAATTACCTTGACTTTGAGAGCAAATATTGACGTCCATAGGCTCAGAAAAGGGTCTTTAGCCATAATTTAAATAAAACGCCATTTTTGACTATTCTTTACTTTGACTATTCTTTACATTTGTTGTATAGTTACCATTTACACATTTTCTTGTACCTAGATTCTATTCAACTTGAAAGAGTTAATTTAGAAGTCAAACAACAAAAATCAGCATTATATTTTCAAATTTTACCGAACCATCGAAACTAATCCTGTGAAAATTTGAAAATACACTCTTAGACAAAAAAACGTCGCACCAAGAATGAGTTATCCGAATGAGACGAAAATCGGTAGAAGTGACATGTACAGAAAAACAAATGATTACAGTTTGAGAAAACTGGATGATTTATTGAAAGGATAGAGCTTCACAAAGTGAAAAAGTCAGTAACACGTTTGTCCACCTCTGGCCCTTATGCAAGCAGTTATTCGGCTTGATTATATTCGGTTATTCGGCATCGATTGATAGAGGTTGCGGATGTCCTCCTGAGGGATATCGTACCAAATTCTGTCCAACTGGCGCGTTAGATCGTCAACATCCCGAGCTGGTTGGAGGGCACTGCCCATAATGCTCCAAACGTGCTCAATAGTAGAGAGATCCGGCGACCTTGCTGGTCAAGGTAATGTCCGGCAAGCAGTAGAAACATGTGCAGTGTGGGGGCGGGCCCAGGGTGGCGTGACATGAAGGGCAACACAACGCTGTGCCCCAACGTTGATGTACCGCTATGCTGTAAGTTTGCGACGGATGACAACCAAAGGCGTCCTACTATGAAATGAAATGGCACCCCAGACCATCACTGCTGGTTGTCGGCCTGTCTGCGGGAAGACAGTCAGCTTGGTATCACACCGCTGTCTCCAGACTCCCCATCGCTGGTCATCGGGGCTCAGTTCAAAGCGGGACTCATCACTGAAGACTATTCTACTCAAATCAGTGACATTCCAGTGCGAATGAGCTGGACACCACTGCAGACGGGCTTGACGTTGTACAGAGGTCAATGATAGTCGGCGCAAGGGTCGCCGTGACCTGAGCCCCCTTTCTGTGAGCCGTCTATGAATGGTCCTTGCAGTCACTGAAGCACTAGTTGCACGTACAATCGATGATAATGATGCATCTGGGGCTGTGAGTGGTGCTCTGACGATTGCTCGGTCTTCACGTTCTGTCGTTTCTCTAGGCCTACTGCTTCCTTCATGACGCTGTGTGCGGTCATGGTTCACCCATTCCTGCCAACATCGGCTAATAGTGGCATCGCTCCTGCTCAAATGTCGAGCTATTTGCCGATAAGACCAACCGGCTTCTTTGCGGCCAACTACACGACCTCTCTGAAATTCTGACATTTGCGCATATCGTTCGCGCACCTGTATGCGAGGCATATTTACTGTCTACCAGAGTACACGGAATGAAATTCGTGAAGAATTTATGACCTGGAATCGTAATTTCTCTTCTTAAATATCCTGCCAGTTGCGCAGATCATATGCGCTGTAGCAAAAACCGTTCATTCATTAGCAGCCAAAATGGAAAATTTTGCATTTTTCGTCGAAACCTGTATGCATATCAATTTGTGTCCAATTTGCTTTATATCTTCTCGGTGCGTCGTTTCCCCCCCCCCCTCTAAGAGTGTATAATGCTGACTTTTGTTGTTTGACTTCTAAATCAATATTTGAAAGCGTTGTTTGCAATCCTTGGGATTTTTCTGTAAACTAAAAAGAAAATCAGTTATGTTAAGCATTAAAATTTGGAGATTATAAACTTTCAATATGTTTAGGTAACATACAGACAACACTAATTCGAATATAAAGAAAACCCCATTGATGGGAGATGGCTTCATTCTCATTGCACGAAACATACGGTAAAGGCTTACTCCATTTATTCTAACCTCCTACAGAAATTCTAAAGATATGCTGTTTTTAAATATTTTGGGATTTTCCTGTGAATCGAATTTTCTGTGGCGTAAGCGCCAAGAACGTGATAGTGATATAAGGTATTTCTCCCGCCTTTCTAGCGTGCTGCGTGGTGCAGTGGGCACACTGGGCCGGTATTCCAGAGGTACGCGGTTCGATTCCCGACGAAGGCGATTGCATATTTTTCATCTCTCCGGCTTCCCAAAAAGTCCTAATATCTCTACAGTGAATAGAAAAAGTAAATACACAAAATGCTGGTTATAAAAAGACGGAAAAAGGTTTTGTAAAGCCATCTTAGTAACAAAATTGACTATTAGTATGATGAACGGAAAAAAAAAATGAAAGAAAACTGAAAAATATGTGGTAATACTTGATACTGCATCAGGAATTCTAAACGTATACTCCCATGTTGCTTTTAAAATTTTTGTAATTTTGCTGTTGAATTTTATATGGCGTATGTGCGAAGGAAATAATGCTTAATAATAAACCTAAAAAGCAAAAAAATAAAAAGAGTTAGCAGGACTGATTGTAACAGCAGACCGGTAGACTGCGAGCTCAGCAGAGCGTAAAAAACCTTAACGCAATGGAGATAAAAAGGTTTTGTTTATAGCAGTGTTGCCACTGCTAGCTTTCAAATCGTTGAATTTGTTAATCAAAAATTCACGAATTTTTTTTTAAATATGAAATAAAAATAACTCTAAATTCATGCTTCCAAGTGCATGTGTTCGGGTTCAAGGTCTACGATATTCAAAATTTGATGGCTCTTGTACTGTCGTTTTTCCACAGTGTGAGGAACATACATACGCACGTGCAGATTCTTTATTATTTAACTTTTTAAAAAATAATAAAGGGCGAAAATATTTGACGGCAACAACTGAAAAGTGATAGGCCGTTTTAAAGTGAAAAATAAAATCCTATTTCGAGACTAATAGACCCTTTTGGGCTGAAAATGCCCAGAACATTCTGAAAAAAAAAAACTGGAATTAGATTAAAATAAGGCGAACAATCGCATCAAAATTTTAAAAAAAATTCGAATAAGAAAAATTTAATTTTTTTTTAATGGAACAAAAGGTTTTTACATTTCCCGGAATATCTTCGTCAGGGGATTGATAGCTAGAGAGATGTAAACGAAAATGAGCCTGCATCTAGTATAACCAATGTAGAATTCAGGAATTAATATAAAGAAGAATTTTGACGAGGATAAACAAATTAAATTGCGCATTAGTAACCCAACTCCGACAGATTAGTATCGAAAAAGGCACTTGGCTTAAATTAGGAAAAAAGGAGAGTACAGATATAAATAACAGATATAAAAAAATAAAATGAAATGATATAGTGCGAAAACAAATATTTTTAAACTTTTTAAATCTTTGAAATATGTATGGAAGTCTTTTATGTTGGGTAATACGAGCAATATCTGACACTGGAACATGGTCATGAATATACCAAGAAACCAAAATTGGTATTGAAGACATAAATTGTTAAAATAACTTAATTCGTTCTGAGGCCGTATGGTGCAAATAAATAAGTCACGAAAGTCTTTGAATTTTAAATTATATTTTAATTAAAAATATTAAGCAGAAAAAAGGGGAAAAAACCTGTAAAAATAATTTACTCTTTGCGATTCATAGTGAAAAGAATTTAATTACTACTTAAATCGAACTAAAATGTTTAAACTCTGCAATCTGTATTAGCTTTACTGAATGCATCTTGCACGAACCTTTAAGTACATTTTCGAGCTAATTTCTCTCAAGAATCTTCAAACAAGGAAGCGTCGAATTCTTTAATGTGATAATTAGTGAATTAACGTGAATCCAGCTTTTCAATCTAATGAACTTCTGTGTATCGTTCTGTGTGATTTTCTAAGAGAGATTTTAAAACAGAATAAATTATATGTAATAAACATAATTTCCTAAAATCTCAAAATCTTGATGTCTTGAATCCCAATTTTTTCCTCATTTGTTAGTAACTTAACCGGAAATGCGTCAGAACTAACAGAGCAAAAGGATGTGTACACATGTTGTCATTAATTTTGTATATATGTAAATAATTTTAGTGAAATTATATGTTAACTGTAATATCTCTTACGCAGTGTAACAGGAAAGGTCTCAAGAAAGAGAAGCTCCGCCCGAAAAAAAGTTTGCAGGGGCAAGTCCATTTAGCTTCGAGGTAACTGGCTGTCTTGCTAAACTGGCGAGATAGCGCCAAGCTCCTGATTATTTTGGCGACTAATTTTTGTCGCTAAATTTGGCGAGAAAACGTCAACCTTGCCGACCATTTGGCAACGTTTTGGTCCAGTCTCTGTATACCTGGTTCGAACTGTATGGAACTGTAGCTATATTCGGCTGTATGTAACTGTAACTATGTATGCCTTCCATCAATTACTAAAAATCCAAGGTACTGGAAATTTCTCGGCGCACGGGAGGAAACTGTGTGAGACAAGAGGGAGCATCAGTTCTCAGTTTAGTTCAGAGTTTAATTCAGAGTATTGAGAGACGACTGTGAGACCTTAACGCATTTGAAGCTTTTTATATTGTTTTGTTTTCAATGTTCTTAGTAGCTTGAAGTGATGCGACTTATTGTGCTCTATCATACACCACTGATTATGCTCTGTCATACTGAGAGAATCATACTAAGAGCTGCACAAGTCCTTTTGTGAAAAATTCCTGAACTGTAAAATGTTTCATTTGGGAAAATAAATTTCGTTAAGCTATCATCAGTTCTCTGTGCATTCAATCCAACTGTGAACCCGCACATACGTAACAATATGTTATAGATGCATTTCCTTTTGATCCGCGATGATTGCTCTGTATTTCTCAATTATTATGCTCAAGACATATTTAAAATGTCCATTTAATCAATATTTATCAATTCGCATGATGCATTTTTACTTCCTTGTACGAAGTAAAAAGGAAGTATTGTAATCGCGAAAAGTTTCAGGCAGCATATTTCGAACGAAAATATCCATTTCGACCGCTATCGAATGCAATTTAACGATGTTTTTGAGTGATATCTGTACATCATTCTAGCTTTATTACAGTATTTGAACAGAACATGTGGCAACGATTAGATAATTCTATTCTTTAAATGATATAAATTTTGTGCATTATGAATTATAATATGAACGAAATATATAAGTTAACTGTTGTATAATTATTGGATTACATAAGAATTAACTTAGTTTCCGTTATATAATTATCATATAAGTTAACTGTTATATAATTATTAATACTGTTAAGTGAATCTAGCGCCAGAGTGTCGCTATGGTAAACAAATACTAGAGTGAATTTTAAAGAATGCATTTATTCTATTGTGGTTTATGCGCTGTCGGCGAAGTAGATTTAATTCAATCCAATAAGTTTAAATGAAATGCAAGAAAAAATGCATATAATTTAATATTCCGTACAAGGAAGTCATGTGGTGTACACATCAGATTTTTCTTCAGATGTAAATAGATATCTTTCTGCAGGATACTAGCGTAAAATAATGTATAAGTTTTCTTAATTCTCGAAAATTTTAAAAACAAGTAAAAATTACGAATTTCTTTTCAGATGCGCTCATTTTAACAACTTTTATATTTATAATCTTAAGACAAATTTATTTTCTGCAGGAACTATGGAAGATTGTCATAACTACTATGGAAAAAATTGTGGTTTTACCACCCATATCTGAGAAAAATGTAAATATATTTTTTATTTATTCTGTAATTCTTAATTTAAAAAATTTTAAACGGTACTTTATCGAAAAAATATTTAGTTAAGTATCTGTTAATGAAATATCAACTTACTTTCATAGTCTAATAATAGTTCTGTTATTAGATTCTACTGTATTTATTTATTATTATATAGCAAATTACAGCAATATTTGTGCTTGTGTTTGTTTATTGCCAACCTCTGTGCTTTAGGTGATACTACCTAACCTTCCCAATGCCAAAATAGAAGATATGGGTCGTCTTTTACGGAACCACGTCACTGCAACCACAAAATTGCCTTCAGCCTTAGGAGTTATGGTACGGTTTGTAGATATTTTGGAACTGAATATAATTCCCTTCAAACTCAACGAGGAAATAAAATATTTTATTCAATTTTCTTTTCTTTCTCTATTTTAATAAAATCATTTCTGATCTCTAAGTTAGCATATATGAATATTTTTTTATATTTCTTTTGCTAAAATATTGCACATATCTTGTATTGTTTCCTGAAAACAATTCATATTGTGATTTGAGAACATTTTCTATTTGTACGTACTTTCAAAAGAAGAAAACATTATTTTTTTGCCTATTATTTCCGTTTTGTAATAAGATATGAAATAATATATGAAAGAGAAGCACATGAACTTCAAAATTAAATTCTTCAATTCACAAACTAAATTTTCTTGAAGTCTTTTATAGTCTTCAAAATATGTCATCTTGAATTAATAATTTTAATTCTAATATTACTTCTTCCTTTTACATTTAGACAGATAATTCTTGAAGTGTCTAAAAGCCTTTTCCCATAATTTTTAAGCTTTTTTTTTTTTTTTCAATGTTAGTCTATGATTTGAGCTATAATCACTACGTATTTTATTTTATCTTTTTATTGTATTTTTAAAGAAATGCCTAGAATGATTTCTCCTTGAGGAAGATGCGCCATGATCAAATTCCTTTGATATATATATATTTGGTTCTCAAATTAAACATTTCGTAATTTTAAATTAGCACACTTTATGTCATTATGAATGGCAGCAATAGATTAATTGTGGTAATTAAGAAACTTGCATTCCAGAAGTGGATATAAGGGATCGTGCATGTCAGCGAGTATACTGTGTATGGTAAGGTGAAGAACCCTTCCAAATGTTCAAGTGAAATATATCACCCATTTCATAAATCCGGCACTATATATGTCCATGCAATGCTCCAAACGCTTAGACATTGTTTTAGATAAAAATTAGTCACACTTGGCATCAAAGTGAAAACTTTGTGTATTAGGCTGTATATATTTTATAAAAATTAATAATAAAATAACAATATTCCATACTTTATGTTATCATGATATTGTTCAAGGACTATTAAGGTTGCCATTTGTATAACAAGGAAGCAGAACTATTTTCATTCTTAAATGTATGCATCATACTTCTTTCTTCTTTGCTGTTTATACTAATACGTACACCATAATTTTGTAAAATGTTAGACTAACTGTTAGCATTTTTTAGTTTAAAAGTAAAAGAGCATCGCAGGTTTGAAGCATTGCTTTAATGAATCCGATGATGAGATATAAAATTTAAACTGAAATGATAATTTTTTTCAGTCAAAAACTCTTTAGCCGTAAACTTTGATTAATAGTTTGAAGAATTACTTAATTTTGTTAATTTCTCTAAATCTTGCTTTGTTGATGAGAAAAACAGACCTTATGCAGGATGAGCTAAAATTCAGAGTAGATTTGAAATAGGCAATCTTTTATTAGCCAATTTCAATGATATTTCAGACAATGAACACTTAATGTGTAGATACTTGTTTTAGTATGGAAGGTGACATATTTTTAAATGCTTCATTATATGCTTTTAAAATGCTTCATATCATCATTCAGTGCATTATTGATGAGATATTTTAAATGCATTCCAGTCCCTTTTCTTTTGAAATTTTTTTGATTGTATTTTTTATAAGTGTACAGAAGTGTACTATTTTCTTCTTCACACATTATCGCTAGTTCTTTCTGATATTCAAAGGGAAAGTAATCGAGATCTGAAAGAGACTAACATGGTGACTTATTAATTAGTGAATATCTCGGGATTACTCTTATATAAAGTCTCAGGGGGTTAGTTGTAGCTCTGACTACAGTAGCCACAATCTATTGAAGTCTCAATACGGAACTATTTTCTACTGCAGAATATAAAGCATTTTAAATATATCTTTTGATATTTCATTAGTGATTGTCAAACATTCACTGTTTCTCATATTTCCTTCTTGAAATTCACTCTGTTAAATCTCCAAAATTTTGCTAAAATAAGCAACTGCAATTTAAAAAATTAAACTTTTAACGTAAGAAATATTTCCCTTTAAAAATGAGCAATATCTTTGAGTGATACTTGTTTCAGCAGGTGGAGAAAAACTTGACGCCAAAACAGTGTGCCGTGCTGGACGTGGCCCTGGACACAATTAAACAATATTTCCATGCAAACGGCAATGGCCTGAAGAAAGCCTTCCTTGACAAGAGTGCGGAATTACAGTCCTTACGGTACGCCTTGTCCCTATATACACAGACTACAGATACACTTATCAAGACTTTCGTCACCACACAGACCAAGCAAGGTAAGTCAACGGAACAATAAATTTTAACCGATATACTTAGAAATAATGCTTCCATCGTGGAACTGAAGCCAAATATAAAATGCAATTCTTTTAATATCTGCATTTCGAATTCTAAACATGCAAGGGAAAATTACAACTTAATAATAATTTTTCAATTGAACTTGGGAGTTTTGCTTTAGATTTTCAGTTGGGTATATAGATGTAGGGTTACGATTCATCTCTTAAATGTTTCATGTTTCCCATTAGTAAACGCTTACAGGTAAACATTTATTCGGTATGATGACAAAGGCTTTGCATAACCGGTATCCTTGAATCCATAAATAAAATTACAAATTTTCCGAGCGCTTTTAACTATGTAGACAGTTATTCGTGTAAATGAATAATAATTTTGTTTTGAGGTAAAATACTCTCAATATTTTCACAGTAAACGATGAAGGTATACCTATTCATCAAACGTTAACACTTATTTGGTGGCAAAAGCAAGGAACGGGACCGTCAGATACCATCTTATTGGATATCTCGGTTGAAATTTGGACGATATTGTTCAAAATGTTTATATTGTTGCTAGTGATGTACGCGATCTACGATCAAAGTTCTGTTCTTCCATCTATGATTTTCTGTGCGTTCATGTATTTAGGTATGAGATACAAACACGAGTTGAGTATCGCTGTAAGCAGAACTAGAAAACAATTTGAACAGACTCCTAGTGAACTTCTACTCTCCATTGCCTTAAAGTTGCAAAACTGTGTTGAATTAAAAATTCCATTTGTAACGTTCATTTTTACTTATCATCCTGCTGTCCATATGTGTGCAAATAAAGTGCACATTATTGCTAAAGATCTAATAATTTTGTTTTCAACTGTCTTCAGTCCTAAAGAACAAGCAGATAAAGAATTATAAATAAACTTCTAAAATTTCATAATTAGTTTTTTAATTAATTATATTAAAGACTGATTTCATTATACCTAAATCAATTCTTTGTTCTTAGATGCTCCGACTGCAGAGGAAGGTAGTGTGGGTGAAGTCTCTATACAGGTTGATTTATTCACACATCCTGGCACGGGAGAGCACAAGATTACAGTCAAAGGTAAGTTCATATGGAAGGTTTTACTTTGCCAGTGTGGAGAAATTCGAGGTCTTGTTTTATTATGCAGTGTGCCCAAATTAAATGTATTTAATATAAGGAAATCGTATCCCGGAAAATATCAGTTTGTGTCATCGAAGAGGGAATCCTTCACAGTTTGTCTTCTGCGCTTGTCATGTGCACGCGTTAGCCTGTGGCCGTACACGAGCTTAGTGATTAACTGGTACTGCAATATAAGATTGCGTGGATGATGTGGCTATCAGAATACGATAGAGAAGCCATTCCAAAGATTGGAAAATCGTGTATTTTTGGAGCAACAAATTTGTTTTATCTTGGCATTTTGTCCATCACAGCTTCTTACCAAAACACATTGAACAGTATTTTCTATATTTTCAATGCTAATCGATTGCTTAGCATTGAAAATATGGAAAATTGTTGATTGCTATGATGTATCTTATGCTTGAAAGGGAAGTAACAAAGAAATTGAAAGTTTAATTATACCTTGTAACCTAACTAAAGTAACTTTTGTAACCGAAGTAAACTTTGTAAGTAAAATTTCGGTACACAAATTTCAAGCAATTTTTGGAGCTATATTCTTTATCTCAAACATTTATCATATTGACTAAGATCTTCACAACTAATTAATATTTCAACATGCCGTGAAAACTATTTCTCCACAGAATTAAAGAATAGATAAGAATATAGTAGAAAATTAATTAATAAAATAATAAAGGATTCATAAACATAAATTAAAGAATAAGAAGAATAAATAAAAAGGATATATGACATTACAGGATATAAGAAATAAATTATCATAAAACTGAAATCTTTAAGGCAGATAAACTTATCGTATTCTGTGGGTAATCATTGAATACGCATTGCTTTCATATAGTTTCAAAACTTTACCTAGTGAATGCTTTTTATTGTTTTATTCGTATTCAGCGTACAAAAATTATTAAAATTTTGTTGTTTTAATTTCGGATATTGTACTTAACTGTTTATAACTTTCTAAATTTCACCATGTTCTTAGCCAAAGATTTCTTAATTTATTTTAAAGTATACAAATTTTAAGGCAAAAGGAGTGTAATATTTGGATGTTTTTTTTTCCTTAGTTATCCGTATTTTCTTTTTTTACATAGGGGCTTCAATAAATGCATAAGAATCATTTCGACAAAAATTACGGGCAAGAAAAGTTTGGTTTGTGTATTGTGTGATAGTTGGAATAGTAGCTTTTCACTCGCAATCATGAGGTATAGAAAAATAGCATTTTGTGCAATTTAGGTAGATTTCCTTTTATTTGATGAAACTATAATCATGAGAAGCATTTTGTTTTTAATTCGGGGGAGAATATATTATCTAACTCCTAAATTTCTGTAACTGGGGATTCACACTTGACGATCTTCTGAAATTTCGGAGCCTAAACCTTCTTAAAAAAACTAAGGAATCTGACATCATAATCCTGAAAAAAATACTGTCATTTCAAAATTTACCAAAAAGTTAAATCTAAGAGAGAATGAAAATATCTAGTTTGGAAAAACAGCGAATAACAACTTCCAGTAATAGAATAAATAATAAATAAATAATAAATAAATAATAAATAAATATTTCTCATATAGCATGAGCAACTAACTAAACAGTTGGAAAGATCCTTGTCAGTGTAGACTTTAAGTGCGTGGTTCATCCACGCACTAAAGCTAAAATACCCTGTTAATAATATAACTTTATTTTATTTTTACTAAATGATAAATTACTTATATTTGTTAATGCCGCATAATGCGTTTGTACCGCATGCAATTATCATAGGCTTTACTTCTGTTCTTATTAAAGTTTTCGTTAAAATATATGTACTACAAAAGAGCATGGCGAATGAAATAAATGTTGACAGAATGTAACATAAAGAAACATAGACATAATGTAAATAAATGTGCAATGTCATGGTTTCGAAGGTCAAACAGAACCTTCTTCTTCTGCAAATGTAAGAACGAGAGGAGGAAAAAAAACACGTATGCCCACGAAAGAAAGTTGAAAAGTTTTCTGGCCAAATTTGGTATTTAAGAATACCTATTTTCTTTACTTTTTTCCTGAAAATTAAATAACCGATGCGACCCCTTCTCTTTTAACATTGTGTTTATGGAAATACTTGTCTCCGAATACTGCCATCAGTGTAGAAAGGTGACCAGAAATGCTTACAGATATAAATGTTCACCGGAAGAAAGCCCGCACAGAAATATGCCCTCATAGAAAAACGCTCACATGGAAAAATGCTCACTTAGAAATATGCTCACACGGAAAAAAGCTCAAAGCTCACATAGATATAACTTATGTGTAGATTTAGTTGCTATATAAGATTAGCAAATGGGCCGTTTTCAATTAGGAAAAAGAGAAAAAAAATATAATAGTAAGTATAAGTTACACATTTTATAATATAAAAATTTAGAAGAATAAGCAAATAGAAATAACTATTTTATTTAAATTACGTAAAATACCCTGTTATATATAAATCATAAATATATATTTCGCATAAACTTATAAGGCATTTCTCCCGCCCGCCTTCTTAGCATGCCTTCGTGGTGTGGTGGTCTGCACGCTGGGCGCGTATTCTAGAGGTCCGTGGTTCGATTTCCGGCGAAGGCTTTGCTCATTTTTCACATCTTCTGCTTCCAGAATACATGTCTTTATAGTGGCGCCCGAACTAAAAGGGTGGTGGATGATGAATCTCCACATCCAGGATTTGGCGACTGGGTCCCTTAAAAACCCCAGTCGCCCTTTAAAAGGAGGGAGTATATATAAGATATTTCTCCCGTCTTCCTAGCATGACTTTGTGGTGGGGTGGTCTGCACGCTGGATGCGTATTCCAGAGGTCCGTGGTTCGATTCCCGACGAAGGCTTTGCTTATTTTTCACATCTCCTGCTTCCAAAATACCTAATGTCTCCACAAACTTACTGAATATTAGTTAATACATGTAAATATATGATTTTATCACCATTTCATCATAGTTTCTTGCACGATTCGCGATTACCAAATGTAAGCTTTCATATTTTCTTTTTTTTAAATTCAGTACGCCCTGTATTTACTATAGCTAGTAATAAACGTTGACAGGCTAAGTCTTTTTTCAGTCCGCCAAACAAAAACCACATACTGGGATGGCTACAAGTAAATAATGAATTTAGTACCTTATGAAAGTTTTCATAATAATTGTTGTTTTAGGAGATTTTTCGAAGGCTGCTTCATAATGATTGCACACTATGATTAGAAACTGTGGTCTTCTAGAACATTTTTGGCTCCAGACTTAAATAACTACATTCAAACGTCAATTTCTCATCAAATGTATGCAAAAATAGAGTAAATAAAAAAAAAATAAACTATTGGCAGTTACAAAGGGGGAAAAAATGTCGTACAGGGGCCAGTGGTATAAAACATTACAGTAGATGCAAAAGTTTACTATAGTTTTTATTCTTTTATATACCGCCTCTGAAAAGATTAATATGAGCATTCGCCCAACAATTTTTTCAAATGATCAAATAATTTTTGATTAAAAAATTTAAATAGGTGTATAATGTTCAAATCGATTAATTATTAATTGATTAATGTAAGGATATTTCTACGTATTTATTTATCAGTGGGCTTATTTCTATGTGAGTATATATCTATATGAGCTTTTTTCCGTGTGAGCATATTTCTAAGTGAGCATTTTTCCATCTGAGTATTTTCTATGTGGGCGTGTTTCTGTGTGGGCTTTTTTTCCTATGAGCATTTATACCTGTGAGCATTATTCCTGTAGGCTTTTTTCCTGTGGGCTTTTTTTCCTAGAACCGTGTAAACTAATTCCTACTTAACTTCAGGTAATTACTTTATTGTTTCATTGAATTGAAGCTGTTTCTTATTATTATAGTAAATATTCTATGCACCTATATAATGCATTTATCTAGAGTCTAGTGTTTATCAAGTCCTTATGCGTTTTTAAATGTTAATAATACGTGATAGAAATTTCTATCTACACATAATGGAAACGTGCTGAAAAATACAAATAAAGGCTTCATTTCTTAATTTTTGTTCTAATGCACTTCACTTTTATAATATTCAGAATGCCTATTATCTATCGTGACACGTCGGGAGAAATAATTTCCAGGTTCATGTAAAATATCCCTTAGATGCTGCTAAGATACATTATGGATTACTTCTATAGTCTTATTTTTAGCTCATTTAAAAAAAATGGCTTAAATAGATATAATCGTATTAAAATCAGATCACGTGAAAGGATAACATCGTTTATACACTTTTTCCAGTGAATTTCTGTAAGGATATCTTTCTATAAAATATCTCGCACATTGCGCAATGCCATAGTTGAATTTAAGGAATCAAATTACAAGTGTTTTTAATATTATTATTATTTTGTAATTCCCTCCCCCCAAAAAAAGAGAAGTGTGAAGGAAATACTTACTAGATTTAAGTTATATGTAACCAATGATTATGTTTCATTTCTAGTGGTAGCAGCCAATGATCTAAAGTGGCCAAGCACCAGTATGTTCCGCCCATTTGTGGAAGTTAACCTTATAGGTCCACACCTGAGTGATAAACGAAGGAAACACGCTACAAAATCCAAGAACAACAACTGGTCACCAAAATACAACGAGACTTTTCACTTGTAAGTAATAACGATTCTTTAAATTTATTTTCTTTTCAGATTTCAATAGAGAAAGACGTTTTTAATTTAAAGCAAACAAACATTTGCATTTAAATTTTGATTGGGATTAATTAAAACAGTATCATTATGAAGCACAATGTTATTAAAATTTAATATTGTAAGGTGTCTACTAAATCAACTTCATTTTCTATTCACAAGAAAATTTAGTTAGTTAATGACTTATTTTTATTTCTGAAAGACATGGGCATAGTCATACAATGTCTCACAAAAATGATCGGCCACTATAATGTTTTTACTTTTTAAGTAATAGGAGAAAAGCTTTGAAATAAAATAATAAAAAATATTTCACTTTGAATACATATCTTTTTAACTCTCTTTCTAAACAAAACAAATTTGAAAAAAAAGTAAATAGTAAATTTTAAAAATAAAGTTTCAGGCCGAAATGAAAAAAAAAATTAATCGGTCATTTTCATAATTTCTATTTAAAATCTCGTGCAATAAATTAAAAACGAAATTTTTTGGAGTTAGTGTGGATAAAAAAGCTAGGCAAAATCTAAAAATCGTTTGATTTTATAATTCGAATTTTCTTTTTAGAAAATATTCGTTATTTTAATGTTTTCTTGCAATGGCTCGATCGCAAAAGGGAACGTCGTCAGAAACCTGCAGATTAGTTATTGATTTGCTTCAAAAGAAAGGTAAATCTATTAGAAAAATTATCTATTTACTTAATTTAAGTAATTCTACTGTTTTTGATTTTATTAAGCGTAATAAGAAACATAATCATATTCAAAACAAAAGAAGATCTGGAAGACCATTTAAGTTATCTGATGTAATGAAACGCTTTATTCTGAGGAATATTAAATATATATATACCGATTGCTCCTAAATTTGTTGCGGAACTTCGTGAATTATATGGAATAGGTGTAAATCCAGAAACTGAAAGAAAATTAATGCGATCTGCAAGGTATCATGGGCGAGTAGCAAGAAGACAATTTTACGTCAATAAAATAAAAAAAAAAAAAAAAAAAAAAAAAAAAAAAAACATAAACTTTGACTCGCCTTCTCAAAATCGCTGAAACAAAAGACACCGGACTACTGGAAAAAAAAACTGTTGTTTACTAATGAAAGCAAATTTAACATCTTTCGGCTCAGATGGACAAGTGTGGAGAAAGCAAAAAGAAGAATTTCGGATCGCCAGATCTTAATCCTATTGAACCTATTTGGCAGGAGTTAGAATCGAAATTTAGAAAACAAAGCATATCTGAGAGGCAGCGACTGAAAGCAGTGGTTCAAAAAGAGTGGCGTAAAATAAGTCCAAAAATTACAAAAAGAACTTGTGGAGTCAATGACCAAAAGTTAAATGAAGTGATCAAGTATAAAAGTAATCCCACAAGATATTAAGAAGCAAAAACACTGTCATTTTTTGCTGCTACTAAACGCGCCCGATTATTTTTGTAAGAATATTTTTTCTCATTAAACAAATAATATTGATTTTTGAATTTAATTTTCATCTTATCGAAAATGTATTTGCTATAAAAAAATGTTGAATTGATATATAATTAAAATAAAATCCTTTCTTCTTGTTTTAATTTGTTTTAGTTTTTATGTTCATTGAAGAATACAACAATTAAAAGTATCCGATCACTTTTGTAAGCCACTGCACTATATTCTTTATGGCCAGTATACTTTCACATATTCTCACTGGTTACTTGGAGAGTATGATACAAATGACAATCTTATTCAATTCACCTACGGTGCAAAACGGTTGAAGTCTGAAGTAATGCAAACTTAATGAGAGACGTCATCCTTCTTTTAGACTTTGAAATAGAGCAGAGGTACCAACTAGGCTCAATATCCTCTACAGCGCTCTTTCAAATTACTGTAGAAAATAAGATATGTTTCGGCATTCAGTCACTTAATTGGTTATTGCGGCCAGCATGAACTCAAATATATCCGTGGTTTCACTGTAATATATTTTGGGAATTATCCAGCGTGAAAACTCGGTAAACTCACTCTCGCCTATTTCCTTTCATGATTATATTCTCGCCGTTGTTATTGTAACTCAATGTTGTTTCTTCATTTGTTTATTTAGTTTATTTACTTCTCTTGCAGTATTATTGGGAATGAAGAAGAGCCTTCCTCTTTTGAACTACATATCTGTGTTAAAGATTACTGCTTCGCCCGCGAGGACCGTCTCGTCGGCGTGGCAGTGATGCAGCTGCGGGACATTATCGAGCAAGGCAGCTGCGCTTGCTGGTTGCCACTCGGCCGCCGTGTTAACATGGACGAGACGGGATGGACCGTCCTGCGCATCCTTTCCCAGCGCACCAACGACGAGGTAGCGAGAGAGTTCGTCAAGTTGAAGTCCGAAGTCCGAAACGACGAGAACATTCCCGTTCAGTAAATGCGGTCCATTCTGAACTCACTGAAGAAGTATCATTCCTGAGGTCGACCCAGCCAGTTCGGATGTGTGTATCCAAATTGCGTGGTACCGACCGGCTGGGTTGGGCAGAAGAAGCGCACGAAACCGTGCTCGGCGGGCGGCCTTGTTGTCGTGCGTCCAAACAAAAATAAAAGCTGTTCTTCCGGCATTTGCTCATTTGACGAAACGTTATTCCACTATGAGAATAATTAACATTTTTTCATTCACCCCCACACAACACGATGTTCTTCAAACAAAGTCTTCACTCTGGTGAAAAAAAAAATGCTTTAAATCTGTTGATGTCTCTAATGTCGATGCATCGATTTTCTCTCTCTTTCATCGGGAAAATGCAAAAGCTGTGCTCCTCTGAGACATTTCATGTCCGTAGGTCTTGTTTCCATCTCTGCGGCTTAAGCGGACAGATATGGCGATCGGCTGCTTATGCCTTGAAAGAGCCGTTATCCTGAAACTACTAATTTTATTATCCAATGCCTTGGACGCATGATATGCATCAATTTTCATGCTTTAGCGGCATCAGCATGCTGAATATTCAGTATCCTGACCGCATGTTATTTTCCAAATTGAAATGTCATCTAAGTATATAGTTCATTGTAAACTATTTTTAATAAAATGTTTCACTTACCTTTCAGTTACAATTCTAACTTTTTGTACTATTAATTCGTCCCAACTTCAGTTAACGTGTGATATATATGATGTCTTATTTGACATTGATGTGTAGCACATTCTACGCCTTAATGACATGGAAAAGTCTCATATTGAAGTCTGCTTAATATTGCACTGCGGCAAATTACTTTAATTTCAAACGCGCATTATGTGTAATTTATGATTCTAATTTCTTATTTTCCTAATGTTAAGATGAATTTTTGTGGTATTTATAACAATACAGTGCATATTTATTATTAATAATAACAAATTAATTTTAATTATGTTATTATAACCATATATTACATACTGACTGTGAAACTGCTTTAGAAATCCCGATAATTCATTTATACTAATACTGAGCTATTCCCAAAAAACTCGAAGTTAAGTAAGTAATTATACATTAAAGATCAGGAATCGTTATAAACAGGCTCATTATTGTGTCAAAAATAATTATAACTATGTCAATAACCTTTCATTTATATATATTTATATTTCAAAGCACATATTCCAGACTGATAAAAAAATTGAAGATAAGTTCTGTAATGTTTCTAGACCGGATTAAGTAAATTTATCAATAGTTTTATTCCGAAGTTAAAAGTTAAAATTTTTTATCAGTTGCATTTTATTTAATTTCTTTTTTAACCCTTTTTGATAGGAATTTCAGGTAATTATTATATTTAATTTGGCGAAATTTCTATGACTATTCAAGAAATTAATTTTTTTAATGAAATTCAGCAAATGATTTTGAATTTTTAATCTGCTTAAATTTAGCTTCGGAATTTTTGATCTGCTTAAATTTAGCTTCGAAATTTTTAATCTGCTTAAATTTAGCTTGCTTAAATTGGAAATCTGGCAGAATTTGTAAAGTCAAATCTTCAGGCTCCTACAAATCCAGTTCTCAGTCGGTGCGTAGCCGTTTTAAAAAGTGGACGATTGTATTCAAATAAAAGTTTTTAAAAGAAACCAACTTTTATATTATTAAATACTTAAAAATAAGACCGAAACTTTTCAATATGAAATATTTCTTCACATTTCATACAATTTTAAAAAGCCTAAGTGAATATAATCCGTAAGAATTATCACTAATTCTAAATTAGATTTTAATTTCGTAATTTTAATTTTACATTTCTCTTTGCTGCCTTGATATAAAGGCATATTTGAGAACTTAATGTCAACGTCATCAGTAAACTACGCACGTCTTTCTACCACTTTGTACAGCTGCGGAGGTGGAATCGAGTCCTCATCTTTAGTGAAATTAGACTTTTTCGGAATCTCTACTCTGGAAATAGTGTTGCGTCTGTAAAAAAAAAAAAAAAAAAAAAAAAAAAAAAAAAAAAATACAATGAAGATCCTATTTCGGTGTATGGCAAACTGTGTCTCATAATAATAATTGTTATCTGTAATTTTTCTTGAGCATACATTTTTTTACCTACATATAAATATATACATATGTAAATGTAAATGCTATGTCAATGCATTATTGTAATATAATTAAATTACTAACTGGGAGATAGAGTAAAAGTAGGCAAAATACTTTATTCACTCAATGTACATGTGATGATGAGCAGTCTTAATTAATTTTGAACAACTATATTATTTTCAGAGCCGGATTGAGACGTCGTGCAAAATCATTAATTGGACTCATGTGTTTATTTATGCTTATATCTCTAAAATTATTTTATGCTCCTGCCTGCAGTGAATTTTTACATACATGTATATGTACATGCATATATTTTTGTAAATTTAAGTAAATTTAAGAGTATAAGCAAAGATACTTCTTCAACGAATAATTCCAAAATTACGTAATTTTGATGATGTTTCTTAACATACACGCAACTTCTTTATCTTAAGTATCGCCATATCATGCATAAGATTTTGCTGCCTGATACGCATGCTGTTTTAAAAAATGGCATAATCTAATATATTTTGCAGTTTAAATTTTAAACTTTTTCCATATTAATTATACTACATATGCCATATTCTATGTGGCAGTATAATAAGATAATTTCATATCATCTTTGCCAGCATGTGGAAAAGCATTTTAATCGCTTATAAATGTTTGTTTTCATGTGTGGTTGTTGTATCGTGCAATGACAGTTTATTTTCAATACTTTAAGAGGCGCTGATTCATGTGCCGTCTTTCCCCCCCCCCCCGCTTCTATCGTCAGATTTGTTGTAAGCAACTAATAATACAGGTTACAATCGAAGTTTAAGGGAATAAAATATAAATCAACATTGTATCTCTATTTTAATCTAATCATTGTGTCAAAAAATAAACTAATAATTTAATAATTTTTAACTAAACTATTTATTAGTAATAAATCAATTAACACTTAAACAAATAGTAGAATTCTGTAGGCAATTTTCATTTATTTTTAAAAAATTAGTTTTGTAATTATTTTGTAAATCATTTGCATTTCGACTGAAGAATCAAGAAAGAGAACATGTTTTTTTAGATAAGACATCTGAATCCTTATCAATCTCTAGAAAAATTATTTTGTCCGGAATGAAAAAACTTGTTTTATTGTTTTCGAAAATGTATCTACTCTTAGGAAGTCTTCTGTGCGAATGTAAATGATTCGGAATGTTAATCGTAAAGCATAATCATTGCTTTTTGTTTTTCCTTTGTGTTTTCTTTAAAAATCATAATCAAACATTTTTCTTACTCTTATACGAGAAGTAACCTTATCAGAATAGGCAACGTTTATGATAATACATAGTTGTGAAAAAAATATCGGGCAACTCTTTATGTAAAAGGACTATCTCTCCTGTGTCCGTAGTATGAGTTCAATTGTCGAATTCATCTGACATTCTTCTTTTGGTCAATCCTAAACAGCTACTATGCACTATTCAGCTTTGAAGAAACTCTGACACCGTAAATGAAAAAGGTCGCTTGAACAGCTTATTATATGAAAGAATTTTCGGTCTGATAAGGCCATTTTGAACTCAGACACAAATCTAAAATGTAGGACACAAGAGTTTCTGTTAGATGCACAATTTAAACAATTTAGCTTAAAAATATGAATCATTTTTAATAAAATAATTAATAAATGTAACGATAACAGTAACAAGAAATTCTTTCGCTTCTTTTGCTTCTATAAGTTCCTTTAATTCTTCGCTTCTGATATTTGTTCATTTCTAGCAGTGAAATATAAATATGTTTAATTTCAAAAGTCTGAAATTTCAGATGCAAACCAATTGAAACCAAATGCATTTCTTTGGGTGAAAAGAACAAATTTATTTGAGCAAATTAATTGCTGTTGAAATTCTATCCGTATTTTATACATTATGCAGGCAGAATAAAAAAACATTAATTCAAAAATAATAATAGAATGGCGCATTTGCATGTTAACTCCTTTTATTAAATCAAAATACATATTATTTTTAAGTTCTTCTATTATATATAATTTATAAATATAATACTTACAACAAACCATATAAATTTAATTTCAATTTCATAAAAATTGAATCGAAAGATTACTGATTACTGTCTTGCCCCTGGGGGACCTGTTGCCTTGCATTAACTTTAAATTCCTTTTAGAGCAGCAGAAATCATGAATAGATGGTGCGTAAAGCGCCCAGAAATGGACCCCTATCAGTTGAGTATTTTATAAGAACTATACTTGAAAGCTTTATAAATAAAATCTGCTAGCAGACATCTTAATCTCTTCTTACCTATAAGCAATCATATTCGCTTTTCGAATTCTTTGAAGTTGCCATTCATTGAGGATTAAATCATTAAGTCTTTCAAATTTTCACTGTCACCAAATGTGAGTAACTTAATTAAATTCTAAGAACGCCTTTGACACTCTTTTTTTATAATCCGGCTCTGAAAAGAAAAAAGAAAATTCCTTGAGACTGTAAGCATGATGTGAATTTCAGATTTATATTTTTTATATTGCATCATTGTGACGGTAGGGGCTTTAGAAGCAGCGAGACTGGTTTAAGTGCTTCTCTCGTTTAAGTGACTCTTAATAGTTCTGTGTGCTACTGTGTTTTTTCACTTTTACTGCCACTACCACACTCTTGTCACCAGCACAAGATCTACTACAAACTCATGCAAGCCCTTTCACAATATTACAAAACTACTGTGCCAATAACCAATATAAAAGTGCATGAGAACTGCAAATTCCTTTCCATGTGGGTGAACATACTCCAAAATAACAATAAAAGTCATAAAATTGGGAATGTGATATTTCTATTTGAATATCTAATGAGTTGTACTTTGTAATTACATGGTCTTCAATTTTTATTAATTTCCTTGATGCTGCATTTGTTTTTAACCCTTTGAATCTAAACATTTTTCCAGCATGATAAATTTTCGATAATAAATAACTATAATCAAGATAAATTTTTAATTATTGTTAAAAATTTATTTTTAAGCAATTCGTATAAAATAAATTATTTGTGAATATTTATTACTGGGAAGTAATTAATGATACAGAGATAAAAATAACTTCAGTACAAGGATATTTTTATTATTTAAACGTCATCCTTTATAAAAGCCTTGAAAATTGTCACCTCCATAATATATTTTGCATTTGTATTAAAATTTCTCTCCACTTCTTTGTTACCGAGCATGACTCATTAAAATTTAAATAAATCAATTCGCTTCATCTTTCTAATAAGAATTCAATCTATCCCTACTGTTTTCTTTTTTGAATATCTCAAATAATTTTATCAATTCTGCGTTTCAAAAATTTGTTAAATAATAGATAATAAAAGAATATAAATTCTCTTTGAAGAATTGTCCCCATTTAATTGTAATTCATTTATTGTCAGTGAAATTCATTAGTATCATAAAGACTCTTTGAGGTACAGAAATCATGCTATTACAGTTCAAGGGATTAAATACTACAGATGCAGCAAAACGTGTTTTATATTGTCAAGTTGTTCATAATCTGGAACTAAAATTCATTTTAATGCTCTTATATATATGTACATGTCTATGCATATGTGGCACAAAATTTTTTTCTAAATAAAGAATTCGTTTTTAAACCTTTTTCTGCATTTACCAAAGTAAAAGTCAGTGCAAATGTTGTATCCTTTTTTTCATAATATTATAACATCGAATATGAAGTTTTTTAGATGACACTTATTTAGGTAAACAACTATGCAAAATAATATAATATCGAAGTTTTAAGAGCAATGAATTAATTCATTGTTTGATTTCACTGATATTTACTTACACCAGTTTTATGTAATATAAAAGAAATTTTTTTAATCGAAATAAGCGAATTATAAGTTAAAATGCATTTCTTTGCGTATCAAATAGTTATTAATAAACGGATAAAGAATACAGTTTGTTTATGACGAATATTTGGTTTAATCTATTTTGGTTTGCCTTTTTATCGTGTTTATTTTTCCACGGAACGTAAGTAAATTAGACTCATATGTTTTAAGAAATGATTCATTTTTGTATGCCATATATTTTAAATGCTCATTGGTAAAATAATTTCGAATTTTCTTTTGAAATCATTATTTCATTATGCGATGATGATATTCATAGGTAATTAATATTGCAAGTTTCATATTTATCTAAATTCATAATTGTATTATATATAAATACATAACGTCAGAATTGAGATTTATTATGATTAGAATTATTCTAGTCATTTTAAATATATACCTTAAGCTATGGAAAATTTATACTTTCAGTATTTTAAATACTGTGCTTTGTTTTTAAATTAACTGTGATTGCATTGAAATGAGAGAGAAGGTTTCAGATTTAATTAAAATAGCATTTTAATGACTTTTTATCATTGTATTTACCATTTTTTAATCCCAGAAATTCTTGGGTTTATCTTAATATTAAAATTATATGCGAAGCGAAATTTTTATTATTGCAGAGACCTTATAGTTTAAAATGCAGAATGTATATATTAACAGCAAATGAAGATATTTACGTTAGTATACTCTTTGGTGTTTATTCATTAATGACAAATATTATGACGTTACTGTCTTCCCACGGAAATCGCAATCATGAGCACAAATATGCGTGCAGTATTTAGATTAGTATATTTATTAAAAAGGGTTGACGGGTACGGTTGAGCTGATGAAGATCGCGCTTCCCGTGGTTGGGCAGTAAACATCAGTTATCAAAATTTTGCATGATTCAGATATTAAATATTTTTTACTTAATTTTGAAAGTTTAATTAGTTTCCGTTCCCAAAGAAATCTTATTAATTTGAATTTTGAATGCTTTTGAAGTAAACGATTTTCAAGAAATAAATGTTTCATTTAATACTGAAACATTACTTTGAAGAAATTTTTCTTCTTATTGAGATACGTTTTTATCACATTACTAATACCTTGCCTATCATTGAGCTTTATGCTTTTGTTAAAGCATATGAAAAAAGATGTTTACTTCTGTGTTATTTCAGTGTTATTTTTACTTACATACCGACTTTAATATTTAGAGCCAAATTATATTTGATGACTTAATAGCATATATTGTTTCTCGTTTCGCGGAGCATTTTTCTTTCGTTTAATATCACTGTTGAAAGTAAAAGGGGTTTTATAAAGGAAATGCCTAAAATGTTACATATCAGAAACGTATTCCCTTTAAAATTTTCTATTTATATGCTATAAATATTTTTGCGCTCTCATGCAACCCAGAATATTTCCTAAATATATTTCACTATCTTCAAATCAAAGTTTATGCATGAACCAAATGAATTCTGTTCATTTTGTACTCTTCTTTGATGCTCAAGATATCCTTTCTGTCCCAAGGGAAAAAAATGAAACAAATATTTACTTCAATCTATTGTAAATAATGCCTTGTACAGTTATTGTGCGCTTTGTTAAAGCAGCTCGGAGAAAATCAAAATGCATGAATGTGCAATACATTTTTTCAAAAAAGTATTAATCAAAATGTGTCATTTAATTCAAAATTTTTGGACCAAAGTATATCATGATGAATGAGAAATATATCAGTTTATATGTTATGGTACCTTTAAAAGTGTAAGGCATTTGAATATGTGACGCGAATTTGATGAAGTAAGTCGGCATTCAATCTGCTGTTTTATCCGATAGAAAACAGTTGTTCAGATAATGAATGCTAAAATGAACTAAAGAGAAATTGTAGTTTGTTTGCAATTTGACAGGGGTGCGTATATAAGTATTCTTTTAAAGTGAAAACGTATTATATTGCAATTATGAATCACGTTTCTTAGAATGTATTACGCAGATAGTATTAAGTCGATCAGAATATTACATATTTGCTTCTGTTTACTTACGGCTGAACCTGTAAGTGGCCATTTTTTTCTGAAATTTGGCAAATGATTAATTTTTAAGAAAAGTTTTAATTAAACAATGTATTATTTTAAAATCAAAATTCTTCATCAGTTAAGAAAGAATTATGATTTTGTTGTTGTTATATTTCTATAATTAAGTTTCATTGTTCTATTAATATTCATTTTGTAAGAAATTATGTTTCTATAAATATTGCATTTATATTACAACTACTGGCAACTGGGTCCAATTTGAACATAGTTATTAGTTTCTCTTCATAGTTTATAATGGATCTAATTTAATTGTTTTTGCTATTGATCAGTTGCTAAATTTAGTAAAAATATAATTTTGCAATTAAAGTTTATAATTCTATTAAAATTAAGATTTATACTTACGGTTATTAATTTCCACATATTTTTCGAAAAACTTTTTATGTTCACCTCTTCTGTCAAATAATAAACACATAAAATCGGGTTTTAACTGTTCGAAAAATTTCATTTAGGCAGGTAGAATCCATCCTATTACTAAATTGTATAATTTGTACAATCAAAATCGGAAGTGAAGTCAAATTCAGAAAATGAAACCATTACAATTCTGCCGTTGCTTTGTCCTGTGCATTTTTTTTTTTTTTTTTTTAAGATAATACCTTTTTATTTGTACTTACTTTTGTAAATATATGTATGTACTTATTATTCTTGTTATATCCATTTCCTACGTAAGAGTTTTTTTAGTAAACATTTTACGAGTTTTCTATATCTAAGAAACTTGATTCTGAATCATAATTTGAAATATGTGTTTTGTATTATAGTAAAACAGTAATGAGATGGAATTGTGAGAGTGTCTGAATTTTCATCATATTCTTTAAATTAAGAAATTAACAGTAGTTCTTATTATGTTATTATTACTTTGCTTTTCTTAAAAGTATTCAAATGAAAGTATTACTTTTTTTAAGAAAAAAGATTCTATGCTGCTGTGTTGGAAACTTTAAAGCAGTTACTGTGTGATAAGATGAACAATTGTTGAATTTTAAGGTGTTAATTAATTTGTAACTGTTTCACTGTATTGTACATATATATACTTCTATAAATAAATATATAAAATATATATCTATACATAAGAAAAATTTTGCTTTCTTGCAATATCTTATGCATTTCTGAACTAAATTTCAAAACACGTATGCAACAGATGTGTTTTTATTCCGAGGAAAATTTTCTTATTTATTAATTATTCTATGAAATAATTTAATCTGAAAATCTGATATAAAATTCTCATTAGAATGTGATAAGTAGCATCCCTTTAAAACAGCAATAGTGTTTCGTTTCTTATCGCATCGAAAAAAGGAAAATATAAGAAAGCTGAGCTATTTAAGATCTGTTACAGAACACAAATGTTTTTCATGTTACTCAGATGGTGATTGTTAAGATGTTTAATGGTAGTTAATACTTGTTGAAATCTCAGTAATTCGGTTAAAAAATGTTGTCCGTGAAAACAGCGATTCAATTTTCGAAATATATCAAAATATACCCTATCATTTTTATTTACATTCAAAAGCTTGTTTCTTGAAATTTTTGAGTTCCAAAATTATTCTTTCATTTAACAATATATTTTAAAGTTCACTAAACATTATTTCCATTCCTTTTGCCATAATACCGTAAATTTTAATCAGATTTATTATTTGTTTCCATTTTTCAACAGCAAATCAATACTGATATATTAAATTTGTATAGATATGTAGAGAGAGCATATAAAAATATACATATTTGTTTGCTTCACGTTGAGTTACCATATGCATTAACTGTTCATTTTAAAATGCTTGCTTATAAATATTTTACGAACACTGATTTACGATATTCAAGGTTATTAACTTTCTGTCATACTGATTGTAAGAATCTTTATTTTCTAAGAAATTATATTATGTTTCTAGCTTAAAATTTAAATATGAGGCAGTCTTTTCATTTGGATGCTAATCACGATCGAGATATCTAAAAATCACACTGTAAACTTTAATTTTCTAAAAAGTTCTTATGTGTCATCATACAATATGCATTATTGTTTAATTCACGCATTTATTTCTAGTAAATGTTACTGCAGTTTAAAAAGATCTGTGATAGTGATTAAGAGATTCTTTATGACAAACTGAATAGTATAAATTGTTATTTTCTATGACTGTGTTCCTGTGTAGGATAAAATTATTATTTTAATAAATAAATTATACTATATTAAACTAAAATTAATTACGTATAATAATCATAAAATATACGTGTAAGTACATTTAATATATTTTCCATTCCCATAAAGCCGGTTAAGTTTTGATTAATTAATTTTCTACCTAAACTTTGAAGACTGATTGTTTACTTTCCAAGCTGATTCTAAGTTTGAAACGACTTTTCGATTTCATGTTACAAATTTAAATTAACTGTTAATATTTCAGACAGTTACCACTTCCCTGAAGATGCAAAACATATTTCCTGTGAGAATTTTCGAAATATAAATTACTGGTAAAAAGATTTATTTAATATTGCATGATCTTTTTGAATTTTTAACAATTATAGCATTGATCCAAGTCAGAGGGAAACAATACAAAATTCCTTGAATGTTATATCCACTAGGCAGCGCAAATTTGTAGCGCAATATGTTATCGTTTTCATTGCCTGATATTTATTATTGCAGTTTGTAATGAGCCATAGGTTTTTGCTAGTCATATGACTCTATTCATTCAATGCTATCTGAATAAAAAGATCTTTCGATCTGAATAAAAGCTGGGAATTTGTATTGATTACTAGATTTTTTTTCATATCCAAACAAAACAGTAAGCCCTATAAATTCCTAATCAGTGTTGTCGATTAAATTTCTCTATATTGATCCAGACACGATTGGAAGGAATTCCTTGTAACACTTTGAGAATTTCGGGTCATTTAAAATGTTACGCGAATACCTCTTGCCTTAGACGTATATGCATTTAGTATGTATAAAATTGCCTTAAATGCCTTTAAGTACTGAATGAGAAAACACTAAGCGTCTAACAGATGTGATGTGCTTTAGATAAAAATCTTTAATATAAAGTGAAAAACGTTTGGTCCTTTAGCCAGGATTTTAAGGACTTCTTTTTTCCTGGGTTGAATCCGTATGCAGTTTTACACAAGATGAGGCAACCGCCCAGGCGCCTGAAAACGTGACTATGATCTCCTAAGTCAAGAGACAATTACAGATAATCTGATGAAATCAAAAATCTACCTTGAAGCTTCTATTTATCTTTAACCTTCTATTTAACTTTTGAAAATCGTAAATCTACCTTGAAGCTTCTATTCACAATTTGAATATTTGTTTTAATACGTTATTTCAATCTCAAAACATAAGGTAATCTAGTTGTCAGTAAAGTTTTAAAAAATTGTATTTTGTCAGTTTCTATAAAATATAAAATAATACAATTAAATCAAAAATGCATAAAATCGTAGCCTAAAAACTTTTAAGTACTTCCTTATTAAAGCGGCCCCCGCGCTTAGTAGCCACAGTTGCAAACTTAATCACCCAAACTGTAGTAAGAAAATTACAAATGTCGCTAAAGGCCGCTTTAACAAGGAAAATTTTTCAAATTTCATTCATAACAAATTTCATTACGTATTATTATTATTATTACTACTATTATTAAGTCTACGTTCGCCAGATAGCGATTCATCGGAAAAAAAAAGAGTACAAAATATTTCAGAATAAATTCTGAAAGTGGCAGCGGTAAATATCCATCTCTGCTTGAATACTAAGACGCGTAAGTAACAAAAACAGCGCTTCTAGTTCTCGTGGTGTCATTTTATATTTCCAGTGACACTAGATTTCTCTACGCATGTTGCTTCATAGGTTACTTAAGTTAGCACCAGAATAAAAAAACATGGGATTTCAAATCTGAAAATCTGATTAACTATTTATACGAAAATGACAACTTATTAGTCCATTTTCTCCAAGCATTGAGAATAAGTAAGCAGTATGGTAATGATGCTCCATTCTGCACTGAATACCTGAACATTCAATATTTACCTTTGTTGCTGGGTAGGAATAATGTTGTTCCTTAACACCGTTGGCATAACGCTTTTATATTTAACCCTTTTGATATTTATAGTTCGAATGTGCAGCCATATATTTAAAACTCCAAGCTACAGCACTGTCTAGTGAACATAAACTGCAATAAAAAATATTCGTATGTAATAAATATTCTTTAAATCAGATATATAGTTTTAAGTATTTCTGATCTAATTGCTTTATTACCATGCGCTGTAAAGCATCGGAAATGGAATTTTTTAAATGTTTACTGACTTTTGATCACTATGCATTATATTTGCTTTAGGAATAGCATATATTTAATAACGCGAGTAAGCTGGGAGATTATCGTAGAATTGATCATTTGAATATGGCTGTATTATGTAATTAATTCTAAAATATGAACAAGTATATCACTTTTTTACTACGTTAACTCCAAATCGTAATCCCATTGAAAATTTTCCCGTCTTTTATTCAGGAATACAGTTTGTAGTTCCATACAGTTTGTAAGATAATAATTGCAAAAAATTATTTATACTTGTGTTGCACGCGATGGAAATCAATCATTTCATATAAATGCGCGCAAGAATTATGCCAATAAAATAAAAGAAGTTAGAAGTGTTTTAAAAAACTTGGGTAAAAAAAATTACAAACGCAATCCAATTTCAATTCATTTTTTATTTGATTTGATGAACATAAATTTTTTTCAAAGCACATTTTATAGAAACTTGAGTTAAATCTTGTGATACATGATTAAAGTTTCTCAAATATTTTAAAGCTGCGTTTCAGTTTTAAGAAAACAAAAATCAGTCATATAACTTTAATTTAATTTTTGCTATTGGAATTTAGTATTAAAACGAGATATATTGATGAAAAGAATATATATTTTTCAGTTCAATTATTTCGTTGCTTTTTTTTTTTTTTTTTTTTTTTTTTTTTTACATATATATTGTTAAAGAATTTTCTCAAATCCGTAAGGTTACAGCTACAGCAAATTGCAGTTTACAAAACTCTAAACTGTGTAAGTGAAGAATATGTTTCTAAGAAAATTAATTAATGTGGTGCATTTTTTAACAAAATGTGCATAATGAGGTTAAGTCCGAATTACATGAAGAAAAATTAATTATTAAAATTTTTAATACACGTATAATTCCAAATTACTTTCCAAATTTAATTAATATCCCTCTGAATTTATACTTTCTGTAATTAATTTACATGTGGAAAATTTATTTATTGATAATATATTTAAAACGAGATATATTGATGAAGAGAATAATAAAATTTAGGAAATATAGGAAACGCGGAGTAGAGAACGTGCATCGTGGAATAAGTAAGAATTAAATATAAGAAAACTTTTACGACTTGCAAGAAGGCTGATAAATAGTTAAAATTATTTCAAAAACCATGATATTTTATTTTATTAATAGGAAACGGAAAATTAGCATAATTATTTCACAAGACACATTAAGAATAATTGGCTTTTTGTAAGAAACTTGTTAAATTGATACTAATTATTTAAAAAATTGGATTTTAGATATAATGTGTTAATGCAAAGTTATTGCGAAATGAGTAATCTAAAATTCGACAGCAATTTTTATTATTTGAATATAATAATTTGTATATTTAATTTTAAATTTTATTTAAAATATAAACTTTCATAACCGAAAAATGGAAATAAAACTGGTTTTCGAATAAGTGTCAGAAATTAATATTAAGTCTACTAGTTTAATCCAAAAAGTCAATGTATACTTTTCTTAAATTACATGTTTATAAATAACACCAATTTCATACCGTTACCTGCAATGGGAATATGTTTTGCATTTTTCATAGTGTAGTATAAAGCAAACATTTAATTTGCATCGTTATTTTATTTCGTAATTAATGAAATTCTAGTTTTTCTTCTGCTATTTCAAAATTTTTTCAGTGTCCCAAAATAATTTTTAAATGGAGTATTATTTTTCCTTTTAAATTATTGCATCTACTTCCTTTTCTGTGATTTTATAAACATATATATTTTATCGAACAGATATACGTATATACAACCTCTCCTCCTGAGTGATTACGAACTCACTATTATAACTTTCTCAT